AACTAACGCCAGCGACCGAAGACAACGTCAATGGGAGAATGGCACGCATGTATTAGGTAGGTATGTACGTACATACGGCTGTCGACTTCCCTTGCTGCTGCCGTCAATGATGCTCTACGCGCAAGGTATTACGTTTTCAAATCAGCGCGAGATGCACATTCAACATGCGCTGTGATACAAACAACACTGCCAACGTCCAGCTGTTGACATTAACACTTGGCTTAATGCGCCGTTAGCGCACTGAGGTGAATTGCCGGGCTGACGCGTTGGCTGAAAAGAGCACACACTATAAGCTGTCGTGAGTATATGTTTACTGTGCGCTGATTGGTTGTAAACCAGTTTACCTTCCAATGCGCTAATGGCGTTGTGTGTGTGTGTGAAAGTGTTTGGTAGGCCACGCCTTGGCTTTATACTAATTTTTATTAATTGTGTATTATGGTGTAGGAATGCAGTTTCGGCGTTCATTTTGAAGAAAGTTGCTCCAATGATTTTGGTGTGGGAGTGTGTGAGAGCGCGTCGCCGCATGTGTGTGTGACAAGGAAGCATAGCCGAAGCATTCAACGAGTTAAAGTGAATTGGTGAAGGGTGCAGCAGTGTTTTCATGTTTATTGTTTTTTTTTGCTTTTGTTTTTTTTTTGTTATGCAGTTTGACGCCAAAGAAAATGGCGTTATTCAAACTGCAAATATGTAACGATATATATGTGTGTGTATGTATGTATAATTGGAAAGGACTAACGACACACCTTTCTTAAGGGTTTGTTTGTTGGTTGCTGCTGCGGTCGCTGCGCTACATTTTGACAGCGAACAATGCATCAGCAGAAAATTTTGTAAAGGTCACGAAACACAGGTGAACTACGGATCTATGCACATATGTACATGCATATGTGTGGACTTCAGTAAATATGTAAGTATGTATGTATGTATGACAGTGGAAAAAAGAGGAGGTTTGCGCTTCTATGATATTTCTAAATAAATTTTAATAATGAGAACTTTTTAAATTTCGCGTGCTTGGAGCGTTCGATTGTCAAAATTTTTTTTATTATTTACTTAGCTACGGGGGGATTTACAAAAGTTCGGTCAGTTAGTGACTTTCAATTTGTTTTTGTTAAATCTAAAAGAAACCAAATCCTTTGCAATTACTTATTAGTTTTCCTTTCGCATTTTAGAAAGACCGGCAGATGAGTAAATGCAAGATAACTGAGGATAGGTCAGACGAAATTCCACCACCAACGCAAACAGAAATACGCCACGTGATTCTCTTCGGGTTTCGGCGTAACGTACAGCCAGTACAAATATTCCGTGAATGTCAAATTTCATGTGAAACGATTGCACCGTCATTAAAGATTGTTTCTAAGTGGTTCCGAAGATGCCAGACCGGATCTTCCTCCGTAGAGGACGAGCCCAAATATGATCAACCAAAATTTTCCACTGATTATGTCACTGTAGCTCAAGTGAAGTCCCAAAAGACCCACGATTGACACAAGAAATGATTGTTGATGAATTGGGCTTGAATGCTGTAGCTGTATGGCGAATATTAAGTAATCATCAGGGATACACGTAGAAATCTGCTGCATGGGTACCACGATTTTTAAATGAGGCCCCAAAAAAGAGGCTCGGGTGCATTACGCTCAATTTTTCCTAAACAGATTCGAAAATTGACAGTCTAGTAACTTTAGTAAAGTCGCTACTGGTGACGAGTCTTGGTTCTATAAGTACCAGATCCAGACACCAAACAGCAGTCCATGGTATGGCGCCCAACAGCAGCAAGCCCACCCATAAAATCTAAGCAACAAAAATCAGCAGCAAAAGTAATGATGTGAGTTTACTTCAACTGATCTAAAATCTTAGCTGATATTCCACTGGAAAAGGGTCAGATGGTAACACCGAAGAGTGCTCCACAAAAGCTTTCAAGAATTTTGTTGGAAAACAGGAGGAAAGAGGATTTGCGACGCTACTTTTTACATCATGACATCCAGACATCCTACACTGCTGATCGCAGAAGTACGTCCCCGGATATAGCACCTTGGTATTTCCGTTATTTTAAAAATTAAAAAAATATTGAAAAGGAAAGGTGTCTAATGGCAACGAGGAGATAATTAATGCGGCTAATGCTGATCCCCTCGAAAGAAGTTTTTAAAGAGACATCATCGGTTCTTCAGTACTCTGCCCCTTCATATACGATGGCTCGGCTGTTTCAACAAGGAAGACCTACCTGTGAAGATGACGTGCAGCGACCGTCGTGACCAAAGAAAATGTTTAGAAAGTCGAAAAATTAGTACTGGTTGGTCGAAGAATTAAATTGTGGTAGATAACAGAAGGATTACGGGTCGGCAAAGAGCGAGCTGCAGAGGTCTTGCATGAACATTTGAATATGAAATAAATTTCTACGCGTTCTAAAATGATTTGGATGAAATTTGCAACCGCATTGAATCAGTTGATGAAATTTGGATTCGTCAGTATGATCTCGAGTCGAAACAGGCGTCCATGCAGTGGATAAAAGAGGGGAATGGTCACCAAAAAGATTCATAGTGGAAAAGCCGGCGTCGAAGATTATGGGATACCGAGGGAATATTATTTTTTACTTACCAAAGGAAACTACAATGAAACCGCTTATTTGTGGAGTCAGGCGCGCGAAGAAGTCGTACAGAAGAGACGTGGCAAATTAGCGTGTCCTTCACACCGCTGGGGTTGTGAGGGATGTCTTAAAAAGCTATTGGGTTTACAGAAATTGACAATCCATCCTTCAGTCTGGACCTAGCTCTTAGATTGTCAGACGACGGCGAGATGAAAGCGGCATTTTGACGAAAAATCTAAAGAATTATTTTCAGTGGTACAAAGACACATCTATTTCATTAAGAACTTTAGGTTGCGAAAAAGTCAACCAACCCTTGTACGTTCAAGGAGGGCGGGTGGCGCAGGAGCTAGTGACTCGCCTATGGAACGTACGTATAAGAACTAGACCGATAGATGAAAAATGGCTAGTGCGGTCAGCACCGAAGCCTATTGCGTTGAGCTAGAGCTATTGGTCCAATGACCTGTCACAACCTATTGCCATCCCATGCAAACAGAATAAACTTTATTAGCGGTGGTACATGTAGGAAGTGGAGGGCGGAAGGCTTGAGCGAGACGTTAGAATTTTTCCTTTGTTTCTGACTGGGCTTAGCCAGAACTCGTCTGAGACATCTCGTTGCTTCGCAGTTCATCTCTAAATCAGTCTAAAATATTCTTTCCGATTTCCAAAATATCGCTGCCAATACTTTCGTAGCTACCTAACGTATTTCGAATTTTTGAGATTATGAACTTGTTTTGAGTAAGGTTCATGATTGTGAGCTAAAGTTTCGTTTCCAATTACAACTCGACTTTGTACACCATTCTTCTCTTCCTTGCAGAGTTCGAAAAAATGCACGCGAATATTTAATGTGCTGTTGTTTTCGTGGAAGCGTGAGCCGTCATGCCAAGGTGATGGCGCAGAACTTCAAAAATTATTGATTTTTCTTTAATCGAAAATCGTTGAGGACAATACTTTTCACCTTTTTAGCTAAGTTCTGGCGTGGTTACATCGAGACTTCTGCCCGGGCTCGGATCGCCTTCAAAGGGATTCCCTTGCTCGTTAAAATAAACTGGGATACTTGCACATAATGGCTTTTCCCGGACAAGACTCGCCCTAAACGTGCGACATTTTATACATTTTGGTCCTGCCTGATTTTCATTGATTCATAAGGAGCAGCTTACGATCCTAATAAGCCTAATCACTTCCTACTATCCACTCATTACGCGTACATAAAAACGCTCCTATGTAGGTTTAATTAAAGATCTAAATTTTTCAAATATGATTTTCAGACACTATCATTTTGTTATTAGGATCGTGTTATTTGAGATTTTTCTCTTCAACTAATGCGAAGCAAACTTAGTTTCCACCTTAAGAATCGTCTCTAGATACGTTCTTCTTTACTGGCGCAGACACCACTTCAGCGATTATAGGCGAGTTAACAAGAGAGCCCCTTTCATTCCTGCTCTTCGCTGCTTCAAACGAAAACGAAAGTACCACGTACAGCAAAGTTCCTTTTCAAATGATCAACGGAGTGGAGGTCTTTTTCTTCCTCTTTGTACCCGGTTTTTGAAACAAAAATTAGGTCGACGAAAAGCACAGAAAGGACCACCGAATGGGCAACCGCGGCTTACAGACGAACGCTTTGTAAGCGCTGGAGCGTATTTCAGCCGGTTGCGATGTGCGTCTACCAAAAATGGAGGGAACTACAACTTATTTTAAGCCACCTCCAAATGGTCAACGAATTTTTCTGAGGAGCCTTCATTTCATATCAGAAATATACTCGTAGGGCTTGACAACCCCTTAAAATTAGAAAATTTAATTTTCTATAATTTTGAATGTTGGTCGAATCAGGTCTCGAACCCTGGTCTTCAGATGCCTTCAGTGTGGAATGCTCACACATACATACAAACATAAATGTACATTAGTACGATAAAGCAAGCGATAAGCCAATTGGACTGGAAGAATCAAATTTTTCTTTCGAATTTAAATCCATTTGGTCTGACCTCATTGAAGCGCGAACCTTCTTACCATGGCAATGAATATGTGCGTACACGTACACGACGAGTGTTAATCCACGGTAATGAGCTTTTTAATTGTCAATCAAATATTTTTGTATCCGAAAATCAAAGACAAACTTTAGTTGTTTTTTTTATGAAGACGTCTTCTTTATTTCAGCCTTAAAACCTGTATTGTAACATGGACATCTTTTTTTGTATACTAAGCCAGTTGTTGGACAACTGTAGGCATAACTACATACATAATTAAGTAAATATTTAAGTAAAAATGAAAAAATAATGAACAACCTTTAGGTAATAAGATCAAAATAAGGAAATTCCAATTGTGCCTGATTAAAAGGTTTAATAAAATATACTATGTACCAAAGGAAACTGAGCAAATAAAAGAAAATCAGTTGAAATCAATTAGAAAAACTTTGAGTAGATTTGTTATCCCCAATTTCTTGCCGTTTTCAAGCACTTTGATCGACCATCAAGCTGCTTAAGGCGTCAGTCGCTTGGGATCACGTGGGAACATTGAAGTCTTACGAATGTTGTCCAGACCCAGATAGAGCATGACAACACGCTCCATGCCAATACCACCGCCAGCATGTGGTGGGCAACCGAAACGGAACGACTCAATGTAAGCAGCAATTTTTGTGATGTCTAGAAGGAAAATATTGTTTTTTTTTTTAGGAGAGATTCAAATTAGAAAATAGCGAAATTATACGACACCTACCAATACCATGATGTTTTGCACGTTCTACAAGAAAATCGGGATCGTGAATACGCTGCGCGCCTGAAATAATTTCCTCGCCACGCATGAACATATCATATGAGTTGGAATAGATGGGGTTATTCGGATCGGGCATTGTATAGAAAGGACGAATGGCAAGTGGAAATTTGTCAAGTACATAGAAATCAGTATCGTATTTAGCCTTCACAAGTCTGCCTAATAATTTTTCATTGGGCGTTGACAAATCTTCCTCATCGCCAGTTTCAATGCCTGCTTCACGCAACATTTTTACACCTTCCGCAAATTCCAATATCAGTGGTGGTTCGAGAAACTTAAATGGTTCCGCTTTAAATTGCTGATTGACCGCTTCTATTTCTCGGCTATAATTGTCACGTAAACCCTTGAATATACCCGTGAATGTATCAGCAATGGTATGCAAGACTTCATGATAATGATATTTGAAAGCCATCTCCAAGTCGAGCCCAACGAATTCAGTCAAATGGCGATGTGTATTGGAATCTTCGGCGCGAAAAACGGCTCCAACGGTGTAAACCTTATCGAAATCAGCAGCAATAGCCATTTGTTTATATAACTGTGGTGATTGGGCCAAATAAGCGGATTCTATATATATATATATAAAACACCAAGAATATATTTTAAAAATAAGTAATAAAAGTTTTTGATTTCTACTACACACCTTTGAAGTAGCTGACGGTGAATACGTTTGCGCCACCTTCACTAGCAGCTGATATAATTTTTGGGGTATGGATCTCGGTAAATCCTTTAGCAGTCAGAATATCACGGAATAAACGACATACGCCAGCTTCCAAACGGAAAATCGCTTGATTCGCTGGCGTGCGTAAATCTAATATGCGATTATCCAAACGAGTATCTTGATTAACGCGAATATTTAAACCTTCCGGGTCCTATAACAACAAATTGAAAAACTTTACAATCTTATAATTGTCATGTAAATATAGTTTGCTACTACATACATCGGCATTTTCAGGTCGGGAGGCATCTTCTATTTGTAGTGGCAATTGCGGTTTGGCCAGCGATACAACGAAGAGCTGCTCGATACATAATTCAATTGTTTGTTCAGTACACGATTCGATCTTATTGGGCACAGTAACGACTTTAGCTTGCACATCGATAATACTTTCCTTGCTTACACTGTAAAAATCACAAAAAGAAAAGATAAGAGAAATTGGTGAATATTTAATTTAATTTTTTTTGTTAGCAAAATAAAAACATACTTTCCGCTAAATTTCACCATTTGCTTCGAAACTCGTTCGTTCACAGCTAGAATACATTGCACTGTGCTGCTTTGTTGACGCAGGACCAAGAAACATTGTTTTCCCTTCGCCCGAGATGTATGCACTCTACCACGCACCCACACTACTTGATCTCTATATTCCGGTTGGCTTAATTCGTTTACAGATACAAATTTGCGTTCCTCAAATTTTTCTTTCGATTGTATAAGACCAGTAGAGCCATAACGCCCAGCCGATACATCAACGGCATCACCAGCTTCCTCACCGTTGGCAGCCATGTTAGCAGCTTTACTTTCAGCTTTCTAAAAGAAATAAAGAAACAGTAGAATACAAGTGATAAGCTACGTGCATATAAGTAATATATTTACCTTCGCAGCTTTCAATGCTTCTTTCGCTTGTTTCTTCGCTGCCTTCTTCGAAGTCGCCTCACCTTCAACTGCACTGCTAGCAGTGGCTACGTTTTCCTTATCAGCTACCATTTTGATTATTTTTCTTCGTCTGTAAGTGATAATCAAAGAAATAACCATAATATTAAAGATTAACGAACTAAAAGCCACACTAAGGGCACAAAAGCCACAGCAACAAGTCAAACTAAAGACAAACTATAATATTCGTCACAGCATACATTTATACAACCGTGAATTACTTACAAATCTATCAATTTAGAACATTAAAGGGGTGCGGGTCGGTGATAGCTGTTTCATATGAAGTTTCACTATTGCGTCATGTGTGCAAATTTAGTTTTAAAATTACACATAGCAATTTTTAAATATACGCAAAAAAAATTATTTGCCTTCACACATTTACAGTGCATTGCACTGAAAGCTTCCGGTTGGTTTAATATCACTTTACTCTTTTTATTTCTGGCCCACAGCTGCACCACCGGTTACCGCTGCTAATTGTCACCTCTCGCCTACTTCATAAAACCAACTTGAAATCACATGTTGTAATTGTAACTTTTGATAAATTTTTCCGTTGTAAATATTTGACTACTCCATGCATTTTTCCCGAAAACCGTAAGTTTGTTTCACAAATCAGCACTGCTTACCTTTTTAATGGGCTTCAATAATGATTTCGTTCGGAATTTGTGCTTAAGAACACACAAAATACAACACAACACGCGTTTCACATCCACTGCATCCCATAAGAAATGCCAAAATTCAGTTGTCATCGTATTGACAGTTTTCTCTGTGCGGACGTGTCAGTACAGGGTTGTCAGGACTGGAAAATATTAAATTATTTCTGCTTTTTAACAAATGATTTAAAAACAAAAAAAAATGGAGAATCTGAAACAAAACTAGTAAAGTCCAAAATAACTCATAAAACAAACAGGCAAATATGCAATAAAATGCTAATTATTTTAGCTTAATTACTCGAAATTCATTTCTATGGCAGTCATGTCACTCTGTGTTCATATATTCTAGGCTAGTCCTGCCGTATTTAAAACAGGAAAATAACCGCTAAAATAATTTAAAATACCAAATTTGTTATTGTGTGCCTAATTAATAATTGTGATATAATACATTGGTAGGTGCATGACTTGAACCAATGATCCTCAGCATTATAGCACGCATTGCTAACCATTCGGCTTCTACAGAGAATATTGAAGTTTATTAAGTAAATTAACCATTAAATTTTAAGATTAACAAAAGTAAATGAAATTACCCAAGGCTTTTGAAAAGATTTTTTAAGTAAAAGGTCTGTCTTTTATGAATAGATTTCTTTATTATAAATAGAAAAAAAGCAATAGTTCGTAAAATTGTATGACTTATAATTAATTCTTAGGCATTTTATTTTGAGACATTTTTGGTATTCAAGAAAATTTAACTTTTATTTCTTAACACTGTAAATATTATTATTTATAATGTGAATCTTGTTCACAATTTTAAATAAACAAACAACGAACTTTATTTAAACAGCTCCATTTTAAAACTAAACTCTGTAGAAATATTCGCTTTCTTGCAATTCTCTTATGAGTGTTAGGGAAAAGATCTTCTTGGAGTTTCTGTACATAATTTGGCTAACCGTTTAAGTTTAAATATTTATTTACAAATATATAAAAATATTTACATACATACATATAAGCATAACTTATAATGAAAATGTAGATATTATATGTATATTAATTATTTATAAAATAGTGACTTTTTTTATTACGGTTTGATTGCTTATTTTCATATATGTACATGTGCGCATTATAAATACAAAAAAACGCTTCTGTATATTTATGTATATGTAAAAATTGCTTTCGTTTTTTTAATTAGTAATTATTATAAATTACAAAATTAGTCATATAGGAACTGTAAATTTGTTTTAACTAAAAAACTATTTTACACCCAGTTAAAAATCTGACTAATTTCGATATCTAAAGCGACTAGAAATTTTGACTGTAATCCATTAATATTTTATTTAATGGTTATACAGTTTTTGCTCTCTGCTCGATGGTATTCTTTGAAATTTTTAATTATAATTTACGTAACGTGGTGGACATATATGAGTATTTTTAGGTACACTGATGATCGGTGGGTATTTTTTTGTTTTGCTTTAAAAAATGACGAGTAGAGTATAGATAATGTTATTATCTACCCATTATTGTGGGCTCATCCGCCATAGCCACTTCATCGTTTGGCGCTTTGGCACCCTTCTTCTTGCCTGAATACCACAGGAACAGCAAGCCGCACACCAAATTCACGATGAATGTAAACCAAGCCAGGTAGACGCCATAACCATATCTGAGATATTCAGAAAAATAATTGTTATTCGAGAGCTTTAGAAGCATTTTTTTATTCAAATTTGTAAGTAGATTTCAAACCTGTATTACATATTTTAAAAAAGTCAAACTAAATTTATTCTTAAAAAAAAAAAAATATTCTTAAAATTAAAAATTAAATTTAATTCTTAGAGACACGTGGCATCATCAAAGCAGTTACCGAGAAATACTTTGGAAACGAAACGGCAAATACATAAAGTTCCGGTCGAACGGCAAATGAATTCAAACGGTTGTTTATGGTTTATGTCAAATAATGTGAAAATTTTCTACACCTAAACTACTGAGTTCAGTGAAAGTTATAGTGATATACTTTTTAATTACTTACGTAAGTTCGGCGCCCTCAGGATAAGCATAAAATAAGTTATTCCTTGTGTATTCTACGGACAAAATAAGTGACTGTATAACTACTACGGCAGTCGACGCAGCAACTAAGTCAATGCCGCCCGCTAAACGTTTAAACATATAACGCGGATTCTTAAAAGTGTAAAATGAGAAAATCGAACCCAGAGTCATAACGAAAACGGTGATGCAGGCAAAAGAAGCCTGTGTGCGTATGTACTCTGCAATATCAAATATAATTTGTTCATATTAAGCGCACCATATATTTATAGTTAGCAAAATTAATTATTACATACCCATCACTTCAAGATCAATACTGGGATCATTGCGTAGCGCTTCCGAATTTGCAAACATATCAATGTACTTGCAACGTTCTAAAAAAACACAGTTCCACTTATGTAACATTTATTTACTCTTATTTGTTGTAACTATTAACTACTTACCAACTGGCTGATAAACATAACCATTTGCTTCTCGTCCCCTACTTGGCGGTTGTGGCGGCACCAATTGTAATATAACTTGGTTTTCATCCAATACATATGCCGGTACACCCAAATCACGTACATATGGCCAAAAGAGTTTCGGCACATATTGCTTCTCATTCCAACCTTCGAATATTGCCATTTGTGCTACTTCCGGTATTACGAAATAGTAAAACGTCGAATCGACCATAACCTTTTTCAATGCTGAACCGAAGATTTTACGCGATTCGATTGCGCGTACATTGAGTGGATCAATTACAATTGGTTTCTCAGCGACCGGTACTATTTCGGGTCGTGCAGCCGTAGTATTGAGTACAAGTTTTTCAAAAATTTTTTTAAATTCCTCAAATTCGACGATATCATTACGTACCCAATGCGCAAACATACGTTGTTTAGCGGATTCGGTGAAATTTGTTAGTGGTGTATCGACAAATTCTTCACTAAATTTTCGTACAAAATCAAGTTGTGAGGCATTTAATTTGGCATCCATTAACGTAACGGGATTTACATAAGCAATTGAGGTAAAGTTACGTACAACATTGGCTGTAGGCAAGGCGTTGGGAGTTTTCGTATGACGACAATAACGCCACAGGCCGGAGTGGGAGTCCATGAAGAAGCGACGTGTCTCCGGTATAAATATACCTTGTGGAATATAAAAATACACGAGTATACATATGTGTTTTGAATAACTCTAAATATCAAAAATAAAACCGAAATGTAAATTAAATAATATTCTACACAGCAATATTGACTCTAATAATCGAGAAACCAACTCATGGAACTAAATAAGTGAGAAAGTGTAAAAATATATGTATTATTATTTAAAAAAAAAACACATTTTCATTTAAAGCAAATCGCTCGGTTGTGATTGATAAATACGTGTCTCAAACGCATCTGATTAACAGGATTTATAGAAGAAATTTTCAATAAAATATTTCTAATTATGTGTAAATATCTCATAACTAAAACTATTTAGTGCATTTTAAGTAAATAAATTTTAGCGTCAATCATAAATTAAATCGATCATTAAATTAAAAACGAAAACATTGTAAACGCCCAACTGAAGTGTGCAGAAAATACTTGCTCGTAAAATTTGAACAAAAACACTAGTAAAGTTATATATATGATATAAAAAGCTATTGGTATTTGAGCGGATGTATGAAATAGAGGCGGATCGCAGCTATAAAACACTGCTACTACAAATAAATAAATACCAAAAAGTAAAAGAAAATTGCCATAAAAACATTCTAGTGCAAATAATTAGCTCGCCATTCAATTTTCAATTTTGCTTTGTACAACAAACTACCGATTAGTATGGCAATTGATGAGCCGAAAATTCAAAATTTTTAATAAAAATATCAAAAGCAACGTATGCAACACAAATTACCGTAATAAGGAAATACTATAACATTGTCGTTTAACATATTTACGAAACTGTTCGCATGTCTGTGTGCGTGGGTATGTGTTTAAGTGAATGTGCACTTTTATTTACATATTAAAATAAGAAAAATACCACATGTTTTTGTTGATTTTGTAACGTCAAAATATTTGTAAACAATATATCTGTGTAAATATTTATCTATGCAAAATTTCTAATATTTTTGCTGACATTTCACCTACCTTTTCCACCCGTTATAATAACCCAACGATCTGTGGAAATGGCAGCAATCCACATGATGAGCGACAGCACCATCAATAGACTGCAACCGAATAGTACGCGACGTTGAAACATATATGCTGCCATAAGCGGTTTGCGCTCCTCTTCGCGCCCGAGCGTTGAGCTAGAGACATCACGTATCATTTTGCTGGCAATGGATATGGCGGTGATGCTGTCTAGAGACGCTGCTATTAAGCTCTGGTGCCGTTTAAAATATGTATTTTTGTTGTGATTTTTTGTATATTTCAAAGTTGGGTCTTGTGCCTGCACTTAACTTTATGTATCTGAGAGCGTGTCGCTCATACGCAGTGTAGACCCAAGTTTTGTTTACTAAAAGAGAGGTGAACAAATTTTATTCGATTTACTGTATTTATGCCTAGAAAACGATCATTAAAAATGTGTCTTTATTTAGTTTAAAATTATTTGATATTAAATTGATTTTTATTGTACTTTTTCGAACATCATAAATTATTTTTTTTTTTTTGTATTCTCAGGTTTTGAAGCCTCTAGTTAATTTCTGTTAATTACCACTGGAAACTTTTATATCTGTGTATGTAATATAAAAAATCAGTCCCATGGCATATTTAAAAAAAATTTCTGTATATTTTCAGATTTTACAATGGATAGACTTCATATCTGACTTCATATCCACTAGTTTTGCCACTCTAAAACTCTGTAACCTCCCGACGTCTAATTTAATAAAAGTAAGTTTTTTCTGCATTAAAATATAAAAATTTACCAAGCAAGCACCAGTTAATCGACCAATTCCAAGAAATTACAAGAAAACTATTCACTCAAAATTTTTTCGTTAGATTAAATATTTGTAAGTTATATGCTAGTTAGCGAAAGACCTATTGTTATTGGTTTTTTATGTCTTTTAAAATATGTTCTCTAACATTTTTTCTTTACTAAAGAGTATTTTTAAATTTATTTTGAAATAATTCCACGGTTTGTCAACAGAATCGCCGGCATCACCGCTGTCACCTATGGCATATTGACGTTGAATTATGTCCACACATCATTGCCAAATATGTGTGCGTGGGCGTGTCAAGGTGTGCGTGAAAATGTGCCGTGAATATAACAACAACCGCTTGGATTAAGTGTGCAAGTGGTTGTCTATTTGGGCCAAATTGTACAATATAAATTTGTAAAAAAAAAAAAAAAAAAATATTTGCTCGTGTGTTCGCTTGTGTTAGATATTTATTTTTGTACATATACTTAGTGTTGCCAAAATAGTTGACTGTCAAAATGTCAAAATTGCGTGCGACTTAATATTTCACTAATTTTACGACTGTTTAGAGGTTCGGCTGTGTGTACATATGTCGGCAACAGATTTTGTTTTGTTGTTGCGGCCCAATATATTTCACTATTGCATCTACTATATAAATAAATAGTTGTTGATGCTCTATTTGTCTACACATACAATATGTACATAGATTTTATGTGCACACACTCACGTCGTTAAATCACATTTAAATAAACAAATTTCCACTACAAAAATGTTGCATGAAAAATACAAACATATGTACATATGTGATTTGTTTGTTTATGAAGGGGTTTGACTGCCGGTCATATTGCATGCTGCTCGTGTACCTTGAAATTAAGGCTGGAGTAAAATGTGCTACAAATAGATCAGCAGACAATATTTACAGCTTACTTTCATAACGAAATTTAAATATGTATGTTTTCTGCCGCTAATAAATGTGCCGTTTGAAGACTAAAAATAGTGCTTACCTACATTACTTTCAAGGCCGTAGTTCATAGTACATTTTTTGAGTTCTTTTTGAAAACAAAACTTGTATTTTTTTAAAAAAAAAAACTTACAAAATTTTAATGAATAATAACATCAATTCCGGCTTTCCGGACAGCTTTGTTCTGTCGTGTGCTAGGTTTTGAGCCATCTAATGAGTTCTACTGTTACTGTAATCCAGCAAATCGCACTATTTTGGCAGATATCAACAGCTGCTGAAGTATCAGTGCAAGAAATAGCTGCATCTTTCGCTATTAGAGGTAATATTCGTATATACAGTGTTGTACTGAAAATTATTTAATTTTACTATCTGTGATTATTGTAAATAAATAAAAAACAATCCATAAAAAAAATAAAAAATAAAACGAAATTATTAAAATTGTGAAACAAAAAACAACAACTGTACGGAGTGATGTAATTAATTCAGAAGTGGAATACTATGTTAAATGAAAAGTCTTCAAGTAAAAAGCCAAGTACATTAGCGTATTTGACATAAAATCATAAAAAATATACATATATATATGCAGATAGAAAGAATTATTGTTATTATTATTAATTTTACTGCTAATTATAATTAAAATTACGAAAATATTATATTACAAAAAAAAAATATGTATAGTAAAACAAAAGAAAGTCAATACACTATTTTAACATTTATTTAGATTAGGTGGTAGATTTTTATATCTTTCAAAAATTTAGCAATTGGTTTTATGTTAATTTCGGAGAAGTATGGTAAGATAGATTGTAGTGGATTACAATTTTAAAAAAATTGGTTCCTTCGTTTGGAAAGAGCTGGACACCTCAGTAATATTTTTTATTAGCTGCGAGATTTGAGTTATTGCAAAACTGGCACGTTGCCTATGTAGTTGATTGCAGCATATGAACGTGGATGTTTGTCGACCAGGAACTCCAGCTATGACCTTCCGAATGCCAGTACGCAATGCTAACCACTCGGCTATTGCGGCCGCCAAATATGTTATAGAAATGTTAATGAAGCATTAACATTAGACGGGTGGTTAGAAGTACGTCTAACACTCGGAAGGTTATGGGTTTGAATACCGGCCAAACAATTGTTCAATATAAGAAGTTAATTTAATACCAATATTCCATTGTTTTCACAGCAGTAAAGCCTTCAAACGGTCAATTTGGTTTTCATAAATTTAGATATGACTGAGTAGTCTTATGCAATATATTTTTATTTCTACATATGTACACAAGAATAATATATATATGTATGTATATTCATAGTTTCACATGCGAACTTGTAAGCCGGCATGATTATGATAAGCACACAATGACTAAGAATATCTAAATTAGCAAACAAACTGATGCGTAAAATTTTAGTCAATGAAGAGCACGTGTATAAAGTTATACAGATACGAGCGCATATGGCGTGCATATATGTATTTATGTATCTACATAAAAGCTAATTTTTCACTGCTCTAAACTGTTGCGCTCTTGATTTTTTACTTGGCCTTCATAAAATATTAGCAAATGCTAATGCTGCATTCAACATGAATTTTTCGAGCATTTCTTACGTACTTACATACTTTTATATAAACATATATGCATACTCGTATATGTGTATATTCCTGTTTGTATTAAAGAGTTATTGCCCTTTTTTGTTTTCACTTCTCTTCATGTAGAAATATTATGGCTTTAGACATGCAAATATGCATTTATTGTATATGTACAAGTGTTTGAGTTTTTCTACATATAAATGTCGATGTTTTATTTTGTTTAACTTGGCTAACACTTGGCATTTTACTGCTCTACTTGACTCAAAAGTCTTTTGCTTGCCACTTTGCTTGAGTTTCTTCACTGTTTGCTAATGCCTTCTCACCAAGAGTGTTCGTATGTGACTGAATGAATGTATATATAACTGTATATGTGTATATGTATATCTATCTTCTTTGTGGGATTTTCCCATTTATTTTTACCCATTTGTTTCAAGTGATTTTGCTTTTACTTCGAAGAGCTGTTGATAATAATTTTTTTTTTATATTAAATTCTTAATATTTCTAGCGTGTATAAGCAGCAACAATTTTTTTATTTGTTAGGTTTAGCGGAAAAAATTTGAAATATAGCCAAAGAAAATTTTAAAAACATTAACAAGTTTACCCATATAAATTAAATAAAGCTTTTTTACTAGAAATTATGTGTATGTTAAGATCTATTATGTTTTATAGTTTGTTTAAATTTCAAATATTGTGGTATAGTAACAAATTAAAAAAAATTAAATAGTTTTCAATAAAAATAATTCTAAACAATTGTCTCAAAAATTATTTACTTCTAAGTTCTATCACTAATAATATTTTTAGTGTCCACTAATCGCCTTTATTAGTTATTCTGCGCTACACGCTTAAGTTTTCATAATTTTTTAGAAGAATTAAAGTTGTAGGGAAATTTAAAAATACCGTTTCATCAGTTTTGAGGTTATGTCAAATTTTTGGTGTGCAAAATTGACTATCACATCGAGAATGTCTCTAAATTGTTTTCTTGAATTATTAACATCAGCTCTTAGCTGCGACCTTAGAATTTAAAATCTTTTTGCTAAATAATTTATCGACACGTTGAGGGACATATTCTAAAATTACATCAAGGACTCACAAGCTAGGCAATCATTTTATATTTCTTAATGCTTTTAAAAAAAAAAATTGGCTTACAATTTTGTGGCCTTCAATTTGCTGTCATAAATTACTTTTAGTTCATACTAAATTATGATAAAGCACAGATGGATAGACAACATTCACTAACCGCTGACATTAGATAAAAAAGTTGAATTTTGAAACATTCCAATTCGTTTGCATTATTGACAATTGAGTTTTTATATATCGTCAACATCATTTAAACGAAGACCGATTTGACATGTTTTGAAGAAGATGTGTACAGATGACTCGATGCATACGTTTATACATACGAGTATGTATTTGTAAATTCTTTCTTTTATTTTCTAGAGAATACTTGATGCTGATAATTTATTATGTTTGAAATAATTCTTCACGAATATATTCGTTTTGCTGTTTATTTATTTATTTTTAAGATGATTTGGAAAATAACAACATATTTTGCAAAATCTTTAGAATTTTATAAATATATTGACGTTTTAAGTGAACCAGTTTTCACTCTTCTAAACTTATTTTAAGAAGTATCAGCTCAAAAATCAGACAATACTTGCCGACTATGAAATGTGTGCTTAGAAAATATTTGACTTTTTTCACTACAAAAAAAAAGAACAACAAACCATGTCTAAGAGCTAATTGTATTTTTAGAAAGCCAACGCCCTCTGTCGCCATATTTCTTTTTGAATTGTTTTTAAAATAAATTTTTAAAATATTTTTTTTTCAACAAGAAAAGAAAGGAAATTTATGCAAAAATAAATACAAATAATATTCATAAAGAATATAATAAATTAGCTGAAACTCCCAAAGCGCTGCTGTAAACCATACACATACCAAGAAATACATAAGTACATATATTCAGGGTCTGCAACTGCACCTACACAAACTGGGCTGGCGCACAACGCAATGCAATTGGCAACACTAATGGGATGTAGAATAAGTATTTAAAAATTCTAGAGACAAATTTATAGTAATTTTTTTCCTCCTAAATAACATAACTACAAATTTATTTATGCATGAATATGTACATGAGTATGTATACTTATTTAAGAATATACTTTGCATTTTTATTGTCTTTTTGGAATGTGTGACATATAGTATTTCGCATATAAAATACTACATATACTGAATAATACATACATATGCATACAAATGGTTCTTCACATATAAATAAAGCCACATAAAGAACTTTTGGCATTTTTGTTGCTGCGCAAAATATTTTTTAAAAACTTTGAATGAAAAGACAAGATGGAATCAAAACTGACATTTCTATTTCCTCTCACATGTATCCATACATACACAAAAAGTTAAAATATAATAATATAAAATAAGATGTTTTATCTTATAAAGTAAAATAAAGTAAAGTATAAAAAAAATTAATTAAAGTAAAATAAAATAAAACAAAATAAAATAAAATAAAATAAAATAAAATAAAATAAAATAAAATAAAATAAAATAAAATAAAATAAAAACAAAATAAAATAAACTAAGTAAAATAAAATAAAAAGTATAGTGAAATAAAATAAAATTAATAAAATAATATAAGTAAAGTAAATAAAATGAAATAATAATAAAACAAAATTAAATTACATAAAATTAAATTAAAAAAATAAACAATAAACATAAAATAAACTCAAATAAAATGAAAGGAAATTCGAAAAAGAAGAGTGAAATATAATTAATCAAAATAAGATAAAATGAAATTAAATGAAAAAGTAAAATAAAATAACCGCCCAAGTTGTTTTCGTTCTACGTCTTGATGTTTTTCCAACAAATGGAGGGACCTCCAGTTTTTACTAAGATTACTCCGAACGGCTGATGGTTTTTTCATGAGGAACTTTATTTCATGTCAGAAATACAAACCGCTCCGATGGGCGACCGCAATTTGAAAAATTAGCATAATTGTTTTATTTTAAATTAATTTTCTTCTTCTGAATGGCCGTACGCACTCAGCTACGGCCGGCGTATAGAAAGAATAAAATAAGATAATCAAATAAAAAAATCAAAGTAAAGTGAAATAAAATAAAATCAAATTAAAAAAATTAAAAATATAAGAGTAAGATACTTTATTGTCGTAGACACCGTTTACGCGATTATAGCCGAAGTTATATTATTGTGCAATTCATTCTTTTTTCTCCTTGTTTGGCGCCAATTGGAGATACCAACTAGAGATAAGTCCCTAAATACTAGGTAATCTAAAGTAAAATATAATCAAATAATATAGTATAAAAAATCTATAAAATTAAAAATATAATGAAAATAATAAGTGATAATGATAAAAGATTAAATAAAAAGATAAAATTAAATTAAATAAAATAAGGAAGTATAAAAATAAAGTATAAAAAAATAAAAGGCTTAACGATGGTCACCATATGAGCGGTGGATAGTGTTGTAGATTGCCAAATATTTATAAAAAAAAATTTTTTTCAATATATAGAATTTTTTTTTAAATTCAAAAATATTGTTGGTCATTGCATTTTAAAATATTACAAAAATATGTTCTGTGCCAGGTAAATAGAGAAAAAATTCTATTACGAAAATATAAAAATATTTTTTTTTAACAACTTATTAACTATTCGTAACATTTTTCTATATTTCATGTCATTACAGATAACCACTGAAATTTTAAATCCTGCATAAACAGTACAGCTGCTAATGAGAATAACGGGAAAGGCGATAACTCATATTAAAGCTTGTGAAATTAATAAAAATATATTAGACTTTGTGTACCGAAGTTAACAAGTAAGTACCAAGGGCTTTTGATTTATAATATTATATTAAATAAAACGAAAAGCTTGCCTTTATTTTCCACGCATATATATATGTATGTGTATGTGTAAATATATATGTCAAACACATGTCAAGCTGAATACGCCATTCATACGCAGCGTTGAACCCGCCCTACTTCACAAACATTGCTCATACGCCGCGTATATCACATTTATTATGTATGTATGTACATACATACAAAAAACATACATTGTTGCTGTTTATCTAGCCATTTGTTGTAACCATAGGCGTTTATTGTAATGTCAATTTCATTTATTTGCATTTGGCATTTTTGTTGTCTCTTTGATTATTTTATTTTCCTTTATTTGTTCTACTTCCTTTATTTTTTTTGCTTTAACTTTAATGTCTCGCTATTTGTCGCAGATTGGCATTATTTTCTTTTGGGAATTCACTCACATATTCATTGTCAAACTGATCGTGAAAGTCTTAGCTACTAAATTTACGTGCATACATACATACATATCATTTATTATACTTGCAGCTAAAATGAATTATGCAAGAGCATTGTCAACAGGGTAATATAATAACACAAATCGAGCACATTATAAATAATTAAATGTTTTATATCTTTTTTTAGTACCAGCTGTCAGCTAAAATATTACCTGCCACTGCGTTGCTGCTGCATAAAATGTAAAGCGATTGTAGGCCGTTCTTTAAGGAAAGTATATTTTTCAACTTTTTAGAGCTTTTGAAATTTTTTGTTTAAAAAATTTAACACTAAAATTGTTACATTTTTTTATTTCAAATTTTTTTCGCACCTTTTTTAAACAAATGGTTTTTTAAAATGCTTTATGGTTCAAAATACTTCATATACGCTTTTATTTTCATCTCTACACTGATTTTTATACACTCGATGCACTTTCATAATTTAATATTAGAAATCTTTTTCAATACTTTTCCGCCCACAATGTTTACATTATCAGCTTTTCGATAAAAAAAATTATCCAAATCATTTTACATATTTTGTTTTTGGCAATAACACTTTCCGGATTTTTTACGGGGAGCACCGCAAGCTACCCGCACGCTTCTAGCAACGGCAACGTCGATAACAGTTCGTCCGATCGGTCAATCAGTCACTCGCACACTGATGCGACGATGATGTTCCTGGTGATTGGCGAGTGCCCACACATTCGTATGTAGCAGCTCTAGTTGCTGCCTAGTTGCCTGCCAGGCTGCCTTTTTTTCTGTGTTTTATGCCTACTTGCTATGGCAGCTCATTTACCACTGTATGCCTTTGTTTTTACATTTGCAGATATACATATGTACTGTGTGCGTGTGTGTGTGTTGGCTGCCCAGCCGCGAGCTGATCTGAGCAGGCGACAAGTAATCATTCTTCTTCATATATACATAAATTTGCCCACCAACGCCATTGTCGCCACCGACTAATTGTTTGAAGCTGCTTTGTTTCGGCGCATGCCGTTACCACTGAGCGCAAAACTGTATATGACAAAAACATATATCCCTTTTTGCGCGTATACATATATTTGCTTGTATGTATGGAAATATAAAATGTAAATTAGGTGAGTGTACTTCATAAAGGGAGTTGTGTTGAAGTGACTGTGCGCTTGGTGAAATCTACAGATATTGACCAAACACTCAGTCGCAGCAGAAAATTTGCCATAGAATTCTCTTTTTACGGCTAACGTGCTCTCTACCGCCAAACTCTTTAGATGTGTAGCAATATATCATCACTCAAATAACATTAAAATCCAACACCAAAGCAACAACTCAACTAACTGTCTCACTCTCCTGCTCAGTGAGCGAATCAACAAACAACTAACCGCAGACAGTTAAGCTGCAGTCAACAGGCGAGTGAGCAACAGCAACAACAGTCAGACAAATAATGCTTATGAGCACGCCACTTTTGGCTCTTTGTCATACACAGGCATGCACACGCAAGTATACATACTCGTAGATATTCGCACATATTCCTTGGCAACTTCACTTGTTCGCTGTTTGTTTGTTTTTTAACACAATTTTAGCTCTTTCTTTACTCATGATGCTTTTAGCAATTCCCTTTCTCTGTATACATATACATATGTATGTATGTAAATGCATATAGTATATGCAGCACCATCGCTTCCTTCCTGCCTCTCTGCCATTGACTTGGACGTTGTATAAACGGCTCCGCTCTCCATCGACGTCATCAATGAATGTGTCAGGGTCTCGAGTGCTTTTTACTCGTTTTTTTAATTTTTTTTTATACTTTTTATACGGATTATTAAAGCACACGCACCCCCTTTGAGCAACAAAACCACAACAGCAGCAGCAGTAGTCACAACAGCTATAATAAAAACATGCATCAGCATACAGTTATGGGTAAAAAGAAAGCATTATACTAATACAAAAGAAGAAATTAAAAAAAAATATATATATATATATTAGAGTACAAATGTTTAAGTATCCCAGCGTGTAGTAGTAGTCAATGTACAGCATACATACATCTATACATATATGTATGTAAGTCGCTTCCTTGTGCAATGGGCAATAACATAAACAGCTCACGATTTCTCCGTTTTACCCACCTCCATTTGCATCTCACAACTTGGTCACACTGTACCGCCTGCATGCTTGGTATCCACTTTTAGATGCTGTTCAATGAAATTGAAAATTCTGTAAAAATATAATACGCAACAGTGGATATATAAAGAAATACATACCTATGTACATATATGTATACCTTACAGGGTAAAATATACAATTATGCGAATATTTTAGTTTAATACTAGTATTTTGAAGTCGAAATCATACCAGTTTGCTGTTAGTGTAGTAATTCACCAGTAACAGGACTAAAAGTAATTTCCAAATTTTGTTGTTATACTTAATACGCAGAGTACCATTCTTTGTTTTATCTGTTGGGGAGAGCAAAATAACCGAGAGGTTAGAAGTTCTCAGCGTAACGTGCGAGGTTGACAATTCGAGTCTCGCTGCAGGCGAATTCTTTTTTATTTTATTTAGCATGTCTTAATTAACTAGTATTTAACTGATATAAAGCTGATGCATAGTCGATTGCAAAGCCTACTTCAAAATAAAATTTGCTCACATGGAAAAGAGATGAATGATGAACTAGTTAGTGCGAATATGCCAACTAGTTACACTGTGGTTAACAGCGAGCATTCTTCCCTGCAGAGTAAGAATATAGAAACACGTTTTTTATAAAAGAGATTTGAGTATATTCGGGTTTATATAAAGTTTGAATTTTTTTTTCGAATATTTAATTATAGTTCCGATGCGCAGACACTCCACTAAGTACTGCTATTCACTTAATACTGGTATTAATAATACTTAATGTTAATTTATATGAGCTGACTGACCCTCTTGTAATCCGCGTATTCCGTAATAATATGAAAAATCGGACTTTCGCATGATGTTTTGACAATGTTGCCAATTTTCCTTGTGACGCCATTGTTGCCAATTTTATTTATGATTTTCAATAATTAGATGCATTTTTTATTAAGCTCCAAGTATAGTTCTATTATTGTTGTCAGCATAATTTCAAATCAGTCACACAACGTTGCCATTTTTCCTCGTGTCACCACGGTTGATGATTCTACTTTTGAATTAGCCTCCAGCTGTTGCCAATCTCGTAGCGTACATTCACCTGGTGATAGTAGGAATTTCAGTCAGATTCGGACTAAATATTCTGAAAGATCGACAGGGAAATAAAATTGCAGGACTCATCTTTTCAATAGAAAAAAATCGATTCTATTGAGATATCCTTAGCGGAATTCAAGCTGTTGTTTAAGATGATCTATGATACTCCTGCTTTCTTTTTAACTATACCGTTAAGGGACTACTCTTGCCATAAAGCCGTCACTAGATTTGGTATATTTCTATCTCGGACAGTGGTGATGTCAATATTAGTCTTAATGAAATTGTTTTTCATTTAAGTTTTATTTACTTAAGTTAGAGTGAACCAATTTATGTCGAAGGCGCACCGTTTTGATCGAAAGTTTCTAATGTCACAATGTTTCTCTTATTGTCCATCTTTGCAATGAATAGGTACAATCGATTTTCCTAAGGTTCTCATGAGACTAATTCTTCACCAGCTAAATTATTCGCCACTGACAGGAGAAAATGATAATAACTTTGTGCGTGGTCCGCACTATGAGGTGTATACCTAAGAAATTGCCAAGCAAACTCTCGGAGCTTCTATCTATCGATGCATCTGGTCTGACATTGTCTTGATGAAACAAAATTTCTCATCTATTGTAATAGCTCCAAGTTAAGAGTTTGGTCATAGAGAATCAACCTAGAGAGGATGACTTTGACAAAAAACCTCTTTGGCCTTACATTTTGGCTTGTAGATCATTTGTGCCGGCACACTAGCCTGGAAATTCGGTTTTTTGAGGTTTATTTTTTCGTTAACACATGTGGCATCCATACATCAAGCTTCTTAGTGTAGCCAGCATTTTTCAATTGGTCTCAATATTCAGCTGCTGGGCAATTTGTTTCCACACCGTGGAGCATTCGTCTTTATCCAAGAAAAGCTTTCTCTTGGACATGCACTCAAGCACTACTGAGCTAAGTGATCCACATTTCTTCCATTATCTACCCTAGTAAAAGGTGTCATCTTTCTAACGCCACCTAGCGTAATTCAAACGCACTTATATAATGCGAAATGCAGATCACTAAAGCCATCTCTTGCAGAAATAATGTAATACTTTTTACTAGACCAATGTAAGCCGCAACCGACTGGCAGCTGATTGCAATATGTCCAAAACAACAGGTTTCACAATACAAGAATATATACCGTGGGTAATAAACTTTGCTTATTGTTGTTGTTTTCATAGTTGTTACACATTGGCTACATGACATGTCGACAGTTTCGTTAATTTCTTTAAATGACCTACAAATCTCGTTCTACATAAACACAGAATGATGACGATTTATATTGCCAAAATATTTTTCGCTTCGGCCGAAAACGAAATAAAATTGAATTATGTACATACATACGTATTTACGCACATAAAAATGTACTGCTATTATTTATATACTCGTGGATACCTGAATGAAATGTATGTATTTGTGTGAATAGCTGTCGTTGTATGGTTATTTGCAGACATATATAGATATGTATGTACATACATAGGTTTATATATTGCGCATTATTTGGTTTATTTGGGGTTGACAAACATTTGAAAACAAAAAAGAAAATTAAAATAATACTAAATAAAAATAATAATATTAAATTCAGAGAAAAGAATCAAATTGAAGATTGAAATTTGTAATTCAGTTAATTATTTTAATTAATTTGGAAATTGGGCGTGGTTCGAGAGTTGAGCCATTTATGCTTTCCCTTCACTGCAAAGCAACCAGAAGAGTTATCGAAAATTACATTTTAAGAGGCATGTAAAGAGGTGGCGCGTGTTATACGGGGTCCCATTACATGCGGAATAAACATACCTTGGGCTCGAGCCTGTAGCCTGATAAGTAGGAATTGAGGCAGTTCGAGTCTACAATATGTGGTGCTTGGATTCCAAAATCGACGTTTTAAACCATCCACTTTTACATCGAGGTGGAGGAGTTTTGAGGTGTAGAACTTAAAAAGAAGCGGGGAGAGGACACCACCCTGCTAACCCTTTGTTTACTTTTAAGGAGTTCAAAAGTTCGACTTCGAAAAACTACCGATGACTGTCGATCAGTTAGGTACTTTGTAGTACACCTCTTAAACTCCGGTGATATTGAGAATGTAAATAACGTATAATAGTATTGCTTACACTGCTTAACATTATACTACGTGATGTTTTGTTATGCAACTGGTGGTATCAATAGGATTCCCCTCACGGACGCTAAGGGCGGTTGTTCGAAATGTTTCTACCTTGCGTCCAACCCGGGGCTGCATTTTTTTCGACCGGTCGGACAATTACCTTCTATACTGGGAGCAACATGGTCGATAGACTCAAAGCTATTGGGCAGATCCAGCGCTACCAGGACGGTTCGCGCGGAGGGGCGGTTTTTGGTTAAGGTCGTGGACTATTTGGGTGTTTAAGTGCGGTTGGGGGGCAATGCACTTTTCGAAAACCATGCTGATATGCTGCTGAGCTTAGATGGTATGGGAAGGAAAGTAGCAGCAAAAATCTTTGCTATCGGGAAAAGGAAGATATCAGTTGATGATTCTCCGTTATTGGCTCGCATCCCCGGTTTAAGTAGCGATGCTATTATTAGAGTGGTCAGAGACTGATTGAGAAGCTTGGTCAGGTATTCTGCTTCCAGATAGCTTTGCTAAAGTTAACAAAACTATCTAAAGACCTAAGTGGGGTTAGGTCGCCGAAAGGGTGATAGCTCTTGGTCGAATAACATCCAGGGCAACTGCGGTGCGTAGAAAATGGTATCGTGGAGTGTTGAAAGAGTGCTGTCTTTGGCCATGCCGGAGTCTTCATACCTTTCAAATTCTCTGTATGCTAAAGTAAGCCGATCTAGATGGTTCGTTTAAATGTTCCAAAGCAACTGTGTACAAAGCTTGGTTTAAATATGTAAACAGAAGGACTGGTTTGTATACAGACAGACAGACAGACGGGCTAACTGAACTCAACTCGATGGGTCTACCTCTTCTCCTTTTTTTTTTTTTTTTTGTTTTCTAACCAAGTGAAAAAGTTCAAAAATAATTTTCTAGTAATTTCAGCTCATATTTTTCACTAAATCAAATTAGAAAATTAATATTTTCGCCTCCATACAAGAATATGTACATATATTTTGGCAGAAAAGAGGCGAGGCAAATAAAATCTCAATTTAATGTGACAATTAAATAAAATGTAATTTTTTCATTATTTACAAGCGATTGGCTGTTTGCAAAAAATTTGACAAATTTCGACATCAAAAAATATTCTAGCGACAGGTGTCCGTAACGAAATATTATAGCCACACACATATGTATGTATGTATGTACTCGTACGTATAAGTAAATCACACTCACGACAACCAGCACCAAAGTGCTCACCAAACATTATCATGGGGAAATTGTGAAAATGATTTTTGAAAAATTTTTTTTTTTTGAAATTCCACGCTTTGGTTGATGCTTTCTTTATTTTTTTTTGTATTTTTATATATATTATTTTTTGAAATTTTTTTTTGCTTTTATTTATTGGCAGTTGGCGCACCTTGGCTTATTGCACATAAACATATATATATATATATATGTATACATAAACATTTCTATGAATTGTCAAGTCTTTTGAAGCAAGTGGTATATCGAGTAGCTTTGGTTGGTGCACCAATTAAAGTTCATTAAACGATGTTCGAAATTGTTTCACATTATTCAAAAATAATTAAAAATGAAAGGAGAGAAAGAAAATAATTTCAAAAAATTAAAAAAACGCAACGTCAACTATTTTTATGATTCCGAAATATTTCTTGAATTCTTTATGCTACTAACAGTGCTGTTGTGGGATGACTATGCGCCAAAATATTTTACCTTTAAATAAATGTTAAAACTGTGTTTTTATTGTTTTCGTTTAATTAAACATTTCAAAGTATTTTTTCAATAAAGTTTGCCAGATATTAACCCTTAAGTAAACTAAAAATTAGTTTTTATTCGTTTTACGCTTTTATTTTTATATTTAAAATAAATTAATTAGAGGATTTTAAATTGCAAATAAAAATAATGTTAATAATAATTTTTAATAATTTTTTTTGAAATGGACTACAAAAATATATCAAATTCGGAAGAATACACTTTAATTCATATTCAAAATACTTACTTCATTAATGAAAATTTTTAAAGAGAATTCACCAGTTATAATACATTCCATAAAATTCTAAAATATTTAAGTCAAATGGTTATTTATTTCTGTCCTTCTCTAATGGGGAACTTTCATTTATAAGTCCAAATACTTTTTTATAGGCTTTTGAAATGTTTTCTGGAAAAGATTTATTTCATGCAAGTAAAAAGTGAACTTATTAGTTTTGAAGCATTTCGAAATTTTATAAAAAGGTATAACTCAAATTTTTGAGATCCACAAAGATATGCTTGTGTACATATGTGCATATGAACATATGTTAGAATGGGTGATTTAAAGTATCATCAATCTCATGTGAAATTATACTAAAATTTTAGTTGGATCAACTATTAAATAAATATATATATATATATTATATATTGTATAAAATTATACCCAATAACTCCTTTCATGTAAGAATAGCAATTTAAAAAAAAAATTAATTCAATGAAATTTAGATATTTATGTTGTGTTTTCTATTTTATTTTATTATTTTATTTTATTTGTATTAAATTTAATTTTATTTAATTTCTTTTGAAATTAATTTTATTTCATTTTTGTTTTATATTCTTATATTTACTTTTTTTCTATAATATTATTTAGTTCAATTTCAAGTAAAATTGTTTAATTTATTTTTATTTATAAATATGTTATTTTTATTTAACTTTACGTTATTTTATTTTAATTATTTCATGTTCTTTTCTTTTATGTATTTTGTTCTAGTTCATATGTTTTTATTTTATTTTATGCTACTTTTATTAATTTAATTTTGTTTTATTTGAATTTAATTTATTTTATTTCATTTCAGTTTATTTTATTTTTTTTTTTTTGAATTTGTTTAATTCATTTTATTTCATTTTTTATTTATTTTGTAATATGCTACTTTTATTAATTTGATTTTGTGTTATTTGATTTTATTTGAATTTATTTCATTTAATTTAATTTGTTTAATTTGATTTTAGTTTTCTTTATTTAATTTTATGCTACTTTTATTATTTTAAATTTATTTTACTTGAATTTACTTTATTTTATCTTATTTTTACTTTATTTTATAATATTTTATTTTTTATATTTTATTTTATTTTATTCTGCTATTATGCATTTAATTTGGTTTCTCTTGAAATTATCTTATTTTAATTCATTACAGTTTATTTTATTTTATTTCAAATTATTTCATTTCGTTGAATTTCAATTGGTTTCATTTGATTTTATTCTTTTTAATTTTTTTTTTTTAATTTATTTAATTTTATTTAAATTTATTTCTTTTTATTTCAGTGTATTTTAATTTATTTTATATATATAGTTTTATATTTTATTTTTATTTTTACTCATACGCCTATTTTATCTAATTTTTAATTAACTTTATGCTGTCTTTATTTTAGTTTATCTTATTTAATTTATTTTTATTTCATGGCACTTCATCTGATTTTATCTCACATATAATAATTTATTATATTTTATTTTATCCTACTTTTGTAAATTTAATTTTGTATTATTTGAAATTATTTTATTTCATTTCATTTTAATTTATTTACATTTTTTTAGTTCATCTAATTTTATTTTTTTTTTTGTTTTGTTTTATTTTATTTATTTAACTTTATTTAATTTCATTTTATTTTATTTTAAATTATTTGCTATTATTTTATTTTTAGTTTATTTCATTATATGTTTCCTTAATTTTAATTTTATTTTATTTCAAAATACTATTTAATTAACAACATTTAATTTTTTTATTTATTTTCTTTTGTTTTATTCAAATTTTAATTTTATTTTATTCGTTTATTTATTTTGATTTTATTTTTTTCTAGTTTAATGCAATTTAGTTTAATTTCATTTTATACAACATTATTATATTTTATTTTCATTTATTAAGTTTTTATATAATATTATTTATGTTTTTAATTTTATAAAATTATCTGTTTTCGTGCTAGAAAACTAAGAAAATCTTATAACTTTTTAAACACTAAATTAATAGCTCTTGCTATTTAAATAGGCACTTATGCCAGCAAAATTTCAGTCACTACACTTTACCGTCGGCTGTGCGCATTATTAATTTTTCTATTAAATTATGAAAATTTAAAAACAAAATAGATAAATTTATATTTTATTTTGAGAACTACTTGGAATGTTTGATTTGTTTTCAATGCATACACATATGCACGCATATATACGTATATGTATGTATGTATATACTTTTGTGCGACCACTTGTTAGCATGAACAACCGCTACTCGATGGCGTTGAATCAGTTGATTGGAGCAGATGGTGGCGATGGCAACACGCCGCACATACAATATATACAAGGAAGCATGAGAAATTGCTTGGTCATAATTTTATTAATTTTTTTTTTTTTTAATTTTTTTATAATATTTCTTGGTAGATTTCTCTATTATTCTTAGTGCTTTGAGCTAAGCGAGGGAAATTTGTAAGAAGAAATGATCGCATATATATCTAAATGATTGAAAGTGTGTATATATACATATATGTAGATATTTTAGTTATCGGGTACACAGATCATCACGCTCTTATTGCTTCATTTAACTTATTTATGACCATTTCGAAGAGATAGCAAAATTTTAATTAATTAATTTTAAAAAACACTGATGTGGCTAAATAAAGTATTTCAAATTAATAATATGCAAACATTAAATAAAACATTTATTTAGAGACTAAAATACAATAACAAAAAGGTTTTCTTAATTTATAAATATTAGCACTGCAGGCTCTTACTTGCCTTCAGCACACTTTTCAGCAAGTTGACACATTTATTTATTTACAAATACAACGATTTGCACTACAATAACCTTGATTTCCTCTACCGAGCAGTATACAATGAGCTTTACACGCATAACTATTGCATGTGAAACGTTTCTGGCGACTCAAAAACGCTGCGGAATCCTGGTTTGCCGCTACTAAGCGGAAAGCGTGCTCGCCATTCAGAGCTTCAGCGTCCTCACGCCCGGCAATTGTAACGTAAATGGCGAGTGTGCATATGAGAAAAGCGCAAAGCGTGATTTTAGTCATATTTTTTTTTTGGTATTTACCGCTTGAAAATCAACTGATTTCTGGCGCTATTCACCGTTGTTCATCTCTATTTTATACCTCAAAGCGCAGGCCTTAGAACTTTCGCTACAAATCGTTTAAGAGATAAGACTGCGCTTGGCGGCACGTGTGATTCCCGTCGCAGTTTTCCCTAAATATATGTATATATGTATATGTACATACAAAACATTTAAATATGTATGTATGTGTATAAATGTTTATTTATTTACTTAATGTTGCGTTGTCGGAGGTCTTAAGCGTCTTTTTGAGTCAATTATTATGAAAACAAATGCTATACGAGTCTTTAGGGTTTGCTGTCTCATATATACGTACATACACATTGAGTTAAACTCGACAAAAGTATTCATTTAACCATTTAATTGTCGCCGAAATGTCATCTTTTACATGAAATTGTCTCGAAAGTAGATTGAATCTGGTGGTTTTGATAGTTCCAGGCAAGAATTGACAGACAGAGTCTGTGCTAAGAAGCTTTTTACTCGTATGACCTTCGGGCTTTTCGCTTGGGAGATACGTCGATAGTTAAGGGTATCACCAATATCAATTGCTGTTCAGCTCTCGAGCACCTTTCTTTACAAGGGTTTCCTGACAGTGAATGTCATTGATTTCAATTGGTTTCTGGTTTAAAATAAAGGTTATCTTGAAAATCCATCAGCAGTTTGGAAGCAGCTTAAAACTGTAGGTTCTTCCAGTTGGGGAAAAACTTCAAGATGCCCAGCGCAAAATTAAGAAGAAGCTCGACTGAGAAGAGTTGTTTTTTTTTGGAGTAAATTGTTTAATTATTTCTCTTGAGGTGGCTCAACTATGCTTGAACATTAATATGTTTGTCTGTATTATATTTCAAAGAGTTGGTCAATTTCAAAGCATATTTTATCTGAGAAGGCCCGACTTAATCATAGGTTAGGTTAGGTCGAACTGGTCAACCTACAAAGAGTCTGACAGAGAAGTCACGATTTCCGTTGGAGGTTACTCAAACAAAAAAAAATATTATTACAGAGATTTTTTCTCGAAAAAATCTGGGCACTGTGAAGACCTAATTTGAAAGACCCGTTAAGAGCTTTACACGCACTCTGGAGTCTGATCACTATGCCACAAGTTAGAACGTGTTTGTTAGGTTGAATAAGAAAGTTTGATCGGTTGAAGCCGATTTCATTTCACTTAGCTTATGGAGATGATACCTCAGGGATCTACCCATCCAAAAGAAATACTAAGTTCTCTTTTGCTTAGTGCGAGTATTAGTTTGGTCTGTCTACTAAGCGGTCCTTCGTTGGAAGAATTCCAAGACCTTAAGGGTTCCTCTATGGTCCACTGTTTTAAATAACATTTGAGTAGGCTCAAGGATCTGAGGCAGTCGATGGTGACAGCTTCACTAGTGGGGTCAGCGCGAGCCAATTCGTTCGCCTTCTCAGAGCCTGCTGCATCCGTGTGACGTGGGATCCAAGATGAACACCATCCGTCCATTTTTCGCTACTAAGGAAGGAGTAGGTAGCCGCTGCCCAACAAAAGGCTTCCGCACAATTAATATAATTTTCTAAATTCCGTCATATCCTTTACAATTTGGCTGCTTCATACATCACATGTAGGTTTGTTGGCTTGATGTCAAACAGACCTTTTAAGGCGTTAGGTAGTACTCATCGCACTTGCAAATTCGGTGCACTTTACCGAACCTGCGGATTTAGTTAACAGCGTTGGATGGAACTATAATGTTACCTCTTAAGGATGGTGGCTTAAATTGATGAACGTATTTTGCTAGTAAAGAGGCAGATCTCAGATTTTTCCGGGTTTACTGGGAGTTTTTGTCTAACAGCCTAATGGGCTGCAATTTCAAGTCGATTGGTATATTTTACTGAAAATTACGATGGCAGGATCATCCGCAGTTGGAGTAACTGGTTTATAAAGGTGATTTCAAATTGCGAAAACAGAATTCCTAGTTGCTGTATGCCATATGGGACTTTGTGAATGAACTTAACACCTTCTGCTTCCACGGTCTGTTGCTCGTCGTATGGCTCAGCGCCACAAAGGACTAGTAGGAATTTAATTAAATTCGCATTATATATTTAGTTAATAATTTCATCTATTTTCCGTAATCTGACAAATATATTAAATCTATTCCTCTAAATTGACGTGCAATTCTTGTATGGTACCGTGGAGTATTGGAGAGTAACTCGCCACCATCGACGAGATCACTAGACGAAGACGATTTTGAAAGACATGGGTTGCCAAAGCATGTAGTTACCTTTCTTATTGGTGGCGCACTTGGAAGTATCTCGACTCTGAAATCATTACTCAAACCATCCCAAAGTCCACGAGTATTTTCTTACTATGTTTTCAATATTCGTTTCGTAAATGAATGGATGTGTAAAATCAGAGCTAGCCTCAAGTCAGGAATAGAGGTAAGATTTTTATAAAATTGAATTTGTCCATTCATATTTTTCGAATCAAATACCTAACCTCACATTAAAAATGGAAACCATTAGGTCAAGTTCAAAATTTCAAAAAAAAAAAAACACATAAAATCTTTAACCCACTCCCTCTCTTCAATTCTTAGTTATGTAAGGGGAAGGCATAAGTAGAAGACGTTTGATAACCTCCGCTGCTTCTGTGCGGTCTTATCAAGAGCTCATCTTGGAAGTCTAAGAGCTGCGCAGTCAAAAGGACTAGAGAAATTGTCAGTGTTAGGTATCAAGGCTCTCTTAAACTACTGAAAAAGTATTATACTCTTAAAATCGACGAGTTCTTCTCACTACAAAAGCCCAGCAGGACTATGAAAAGCTTAACCCCCAGCCAGTATAACCTAACCTAACCTATTAGAGGCTTATCAGTATCAGTCAGTAAAAATTCATTTGTAAATATTTTTATTAAAATATGTGCATAAATGTGTTATCACATAAGTAAATATATATTTATAAATATAATCAAATTCAATGTCCAAAATTAAAATCGCCTTTTATTGCCGACAAATGCAAACTTTTTGTCTACTACAATATCCACCACGTCTACCGAGCAATAAGCAATGGAATATACAAGCCTCTGTGCTCTCGAGAAAATCACAAGTGAAACGTTTCTGGCGACTTAAAGTTTTCAAACTTTCCGGATTTTCCACAGCCAAGTTTGCAATTAATCTGTTGGCTTCCTCCGCTTCGACGGTGGCGCCATTCAAGGGCCCGGCCTTTGCGGTGTTAAGAAGGCAAAAAGCGCAAAAGAGTCCAGCGAAAAGTATGGCTGCCTTCATTTTCTTTGTAGATTTGTTACGTTTGCGTTATGATTCCGGCTCTAAAGCTTGTTGTGCACTGCCGTTAGTTTTCACTAATCTTCCATATTTATACTAGTTGTGTGAGCTGTCAACGCTTGGCATAGAACTGATAGCAATGGAGAGTATACGGATTTTCCGCTGCAGTTGTACTGTACACTTTTTTGAAATGTGAGGGGATCCACTCTGAGGTTGGGTATTGTTTATATTGTTCCTTCTTATGGGGCGCTCGTTAACGAAGGCGATTAAAGACATCTGTTGAATGATAAGCGCAGAAATATTTATTTGTGAATGGGATTCTACGTTATCTTAAGGAATGTGCACCATTTTTTTGTAAATTTCTTTTTGTTTTAGGAATTTTCTGCGTTAAAAATCTCTTTGAAAAATCATGACATTTTGAGGTTAAGACTGACAAGATTATCATACTTTTTTTTTTGAGAATATCTTTCGTCTTCTTCCTAATTGACGTGGGCATTAGCCGAGTCAACAATAGCATGACAGTTGTTTCATCTTGAAGCAGTTCGACAGCACTTGGTGACACCCCGTGAAGCTAGACCCTTCTTCGGTGGAGCTTTATGTTGAACCTCCTCTTTATCTGCTTCCACAGACGGGACACTATTGTAAATTGTAGCGTTTTCACCCATCTAAAAGACATAACTTCCAGTGTAGCCGGTGTCTTTTACTTCGCTGAAGGATGCCAATATCCTCATATACCTCACACAGCTCGTTTCATAGAGCACAGTAATCGTCTTTGCTCGTACAAAAAGTTCATAAATTGAAAACTCCCACTCATCGCATGCTGTCATCGTCCATGCCTCCGCACCGTATTGGGCGACGCGCATGATGAGCTGCTGCATCTTAATTCGCTGAACTATTTATGTCAGTATCATAACTTGTTCCATTTGTCTGCAACATTCGCCGTCATCAGAGGGCTTCAAAACCTCTCTCTCTCTCTCTTAGACAACCAAGGCCAACTCATGGCATGACCACGCTTCGGCACCATACGACAGGATGGGAATGATGAGAGGCTTACAGGGTTGTGTTTTGTTCGTTAGAGAGGAGTTTACTTTTCAATTACCAACTCAGAAACCAGAGTGATTCTGATTCGGGTTTCAGGATTGTGAAACTTTCAAGTTTATTGCTATCCGGAAAGAATTTCACCTTTATGCATACTTATATGCAGTGTTATAGGAAGGCATTTTGCCATAAACACAGAGCCATTGATCCCCTGATGATTTTCTTAATCAACATAAAAGGGTCATACCCGAGAGGTAAGAATAGAAGCGTGGCTTAGAGCAAGCCTGTGCCAAGAATTTCACCTTTATGCATACTTATATGCAGTGTTATAGGAAGGCATTTCGCCATAAACACAGAGCTATTGATCTCCTGATGATTTTCTTAATCAACATAAAAGGGTCATACCCGAGAAGTAAGAATAGAAGAGTGGCTTAGAGCAAGCCTGTGCCAATTTAAGGGGCACTAGTTCATATTAGCCGAGTGTTTCGCAGGGCGATAGGTCATGGGCTCGAATCCTGGCTTAATCAATGTATAAAATTATAAGAAAATCCTTTAAAAGAAAATGAGTTTTTTGATAGTGAACGCTCTCAGCAGGAAATTTCAAATTATCCGTAAATCTCCTCATAAAAAAACCATCAGCCGTTCGGATGGGGCTTAGTATAAACTTTAGCTCCTTACATTTGTTAAAAAAAAAAAAAACATCAGAACGCACAAGACAATTCGTAGAAGGAGCTTGACCGAAAAGTGAGACATCTAACGTTTGCATTCCGAATTAGGGCTTGTTTGAGCTTTGACAACTTCAATGACATTCGCCAACTGTATCTCACAAGATCAAGGCTTGCGGCCTACGTACGTCCATATGTTGAACACATTATTTCGGCGGCAGACCTCCATTACTGAAAACGTTTGAGTAGTTGTGTCTAGATGAAATAATGTGTGCTTGAAAGCTTTCACAACAGAAAGACAGCGAAGGCATCACATTCAAAGCACTTGACACACACATACGATAAAGCTTTTTAAAGCTACACATCGTTCTGGTGTAATGAGATAGTGTGGTATATACACAGGGTCTAAAGCCATATAAATTTGGCATTTTTAAACTCTAAAAAATCTCTTGAACACAACTTGAGAATAAACTAACTCAAAGTAACCAAAGTACTCCAGCTTTTCAGCTCTCTTAAATAAATTAAAATTTTTTACTACGGTTTTCAATACCTTTTATTTCATTTCATTTTTAATATACACAACAATTTTCAAAACATTAAAAGTTTCCAGTTACCAGTTACCAGTTACCAAATAATCCCTTTTTACTGACGACAAATGCATGTACCGTTCCTGCAGTAACCGCCACGTATTTTACCCAGTGCTAAACAATGAGCAAAGCATGCCGGAGGGCTTTTGAGCACATTACAAGTGAAACGTTTTTGCCGATTTAAAGTAACCAAATGCTCAGCATCCGCTCCAGCGTTTAGCGTCATCAATTCCGAGTCATCGCTACCCACAGGTACAGCGCTAGCGCCATTTAACAGGCACAAGGAGCAGAGGATGAGTCCGGCGATAAGCACGATTGTCTTCATTTTCCTTACGAATATTAATTAATTTTAGCGGTTATATTTTAGTAGCGCGTTGCTCTCAGTTGTGCTTGTATGCTGCGTAGGCAGTTGTATTCTGTGGCTCAATATTGATTTCTGGCTGCGTTTTTATACTGAAATTTTTGTGCTAACTTAAAACTGATAGCACAACAAGCGGTGAGTCGTGGATTTTCCAATATATTTGTGCACTTTTGGTTGTATATATATGTAGAGTATAGAAATTTAAATTATGTTTCAACGTCTGGGGGAATCACTGCGCTGCTTTAGTGTATTACTAAAGAAGTAATTGATGAAAGCTCTGTCTGCTATTGATAAGCAGGGAAATATTTGCACATTTGTGAAAGTTTATTTGTGTTTTTAATTAATATTTACCTTTATCTCTGCTATAATATGGAACAATATCTTATTGTGGGTGGATTTCTAAGAAAAGCTTTACTCACATTTTTAAAGGCCTTAAAGGACGATAAGTGTAGTATTGGGTTCATCATTATGGAAATATTTCGATACGGCAAGTTTAAGATCTCTTTTTTTAATACTGTTTTTGAAAAAATCCGCTGTAGTGATTTCCGGCCGAGCTCAACCGCCAATTTGTGGTTTGCGTCTTGAAGTTTTTTCAACAATTGGAGGGACCTACAGCTTATCCTAAATTTATCGTCCTCGAATAGCCGATGGATTTTTATGAGGAGCTTTTTTCATGTCAAAAATACGTTCGGAGAGCTTGACATCGCCTACCGAGGAGAATAAGGATATTTTCTAGGTAATAATAATGGCTTTTTGGGGAAAAACTAAAACCTGCGGAGCGTTCTTAAGTTCTCCGAATTGAATGGGGAAAAACAAGCAAGCAATTTTTTTTTATTTTTTTTCTGCAAGACAGAGTAACCGTCTCAGGTGATTCAATTACTTTGTTTATATCCTCAAAAAAAAAATGTTTTCTCTTTATTTTCAAAATACGCTGAAACTAAGTCCTTGACTTCATCTTCGGTGATACAGTTTTTATCCCTCAGCGCTTTCTTCATTTTTGAAAACAGTTAATAATCACCTGGTGATCCGGTTATTGCAGCCTATCTTAAGCTGGGCAGTCAACGACTCTTGTGTACGTGCAAAAACAGCACATTTCTTGTCCCTTTAAGGGCTTCTTGTTGCTCTAAAACTGAAGCCTAGCATTTTTTTTTACAGTACCATCTTTTTGATTGATTAATAATATTCCTTCCGCCTGCCAAAAGATCGTTGTAATGAGTTTCCCCAGCTGACTGTGTCATCTTAAACCTCTTAGGAGATGATTTGACCTTTTTATGTCGCTGCATGGAGTCTTGTATTGACTCAGTTCTGATGAACTCAAGTTTCGGCTCCAGTGGTAATTGGGCTATGCGCTGTTGTTTTTGCCTAGGCGTTAGCATTCCCGGGACCCATTCATTCCGCGAACATAAGAGCGATCACTCGTATATCGGCTCAAAAGCTTCTGCAAAAAAGTGAGGTTATGTTTCATAATTTTTTTTTGAGAGCTAGATCACAATACTTACTTAAAAATAGCCTAAAGGAAGATGATATAAGTGAAAAGCGGATAAGGAAAACTTGCTCAGAAGTGATGAAACTATATCTGCTATATGGTATCATTGCCTAAGGCACCACCCTATGAGAGATGCCCAAGGGTTTGGGTATGGATCTTTCATCGCTTTCCTCAACCGAGAAGGACGCCATTCAGCAAACTGTTCACTGGCGAACCCAACAATAGTTATTCACCCGTTCTAGCCTCTTTTTAGAGACCTTCGCGAGTTTTTGTTTTTGAAGAAAATTCAGGTATTTCGGAACTAGTCAATTGGGAGAGTATTTGAGAAGAGAGTATTTCAGAACCGAAAACATCACTATTGATTCATGAGCCAACTCCCAGTGGCTGTAATGATTTTCGGACACCATTTCCTTCATTTCAGCGACTTAACTTCAGTTGAAGACGTTTAATGGCCGAACGGGACGAGATAAATTTCAACGGTTTTTACTAAAAATCGCTTCACCGTAAAGCTTCTTGAAGACTTTCAGATTTTTTTGTCCAGAATGTATAAATGTAGAAAAGTGGTAAAACATATTTTAAGATCTTAAACTCCAAGCCAGCCAGCCATTCAGCTAGCTCAGCTTATCTGAGTTTTTATCTTGCACGCGTTGAAAAATTTAACAATTCATAGACTTGTTTTCCGGGTCTGATAAGAACTCCACACCCTGATAAGTCGATTGGCCCAACTAATTTAATTTTAATTACCTTACTTAACAGATAATTTACTTTCTTTTATGTAATAATAGTATAAGTGTAGACTGATACCTAAAAATTTGCTCAAAGTACGCTTAATGAGCTCACTGAAATATGAGAAAATTTTTAAATTATATAAATTTATTAAATAATAGCGTTAACAGTTATTATTCAAGTAAATAAACATGTAGACAAACATAGCTACTGTATAGGTAAAGCAAAATGTTCGTTCGGTTTTTTTATTGATTTTTCAAAATATGATAACTCTGTGTACATTTTTCCGATTTATGTGCCGTTTTGTTCGTAAACTTGTTGCCAACGAGATGCCAACTTCAATATACCCTTCTCGTAGAAGGCTGCTTCCCTATTGGCAAACAAGTCGGAGAGCCATATTTCACAGGCCTCTCTGGGGGCCAACTTCTCACCATTAACCGCATTCGCCATGGACAGAAAAAATGGTAATCACTTGGTGCCAGTTCCCGACTATAAGGTGGGTGCATTATGATCTCGCCTGGAGTTTCTGGCGCGTTACCAAAGACTCGTGTGGCCTGGCGATGTCCTGATGGAACACAATTCGGCCTCTGTTGATCAAAGATGGCCTCTTCTGGATGAGTGCTGCCTTCAAGCGCTCCATTTGTTGGTAGTAGAAGGCGTTTTCAGCGCCGTATAGTATGACATGATGCGACACGTTACACTAGTACTATGAAAAATAATGCCATCTCTTGGATAAAAACCGAACGAATTTTTTACTACACCAATATGTACAAATAAGTGTGAGAATTTGAAAAATTTTCCATATTACATGATCTATCAGACACGTCCACACATTTTTGTGGCTTTCTGTATTTTATTTAGGCATATCGTCCAAAAACTTAAGCAAACCGAGTCCTTAATATGTATATTATTTGTTCAAATAGATCGATGCTCTTACCGTACAAAAAAAAGAAAGAAAAAGAACTATAGATATGATTATTTTCGTATGGGTCGTTCTCTGACCTAGATCCCGGGAAGAAGAGTAGTCGTCCTGACCCAACCTAAAAGCCACCATAAACAATAAATAAGGCAGTATTCCTGCTAACCTAAGCAGAAAGCCACCTATACACCGAATTTCAAGTAAATCAAACGATTTTTCGGAAGTTAGGTCCTTAGTTCCCGCAGAGAAGAGTCTTCTTGTTTACCTGAGCAAAAAGACTCCTATCTACATAATTTCAAGCGAATCGAACCATAAATAAAAATTTTTTCCAATAAGTCAATTCTTAGTAAACTTTCCAGAGAGAAGAGTAGTCTTCCTGTTAATCCAAGCAAAAAGCCATTTATGTACCGAATTTCAAGTAAATCGAACCGTAATTACGATTTCGGATAGTAAGGTCCCTGGTTCACTTCTTCCTCCGAGAAGAGTAATCTTACTGTCAAACTGAGCAAAAACCCACTTATGTCCAGAATTTTAAGTAAATCGAACCTTGAATACGATTTTTTCGAATAAGTGGCTCCCTGTGCATTCAAAGCTCTCCAGGTGTCTCTATAAACCAGCCAAAACCGAGCAATCGACATATGTTTCGTATCATCCCGCTATTACGTTGAAGTCTCGAAACTCTAGCGCTTCTAAAGACTTCAACTATCTTTTCCAATGTGGGTCATTCGCAAAGGTCGTGCTTTAATCTTTCAGGTGCATTCTCCTCTCTACAACTTTTGCCGAAGTCGTCTGATGATACGCACACCCTCACTGCGTGGCTATCTAATAGAAGATGTCCCATAAGAAGACCCGTTATTTTAGATATTTCATATTTTCCTCAGAGAGATAAGCTCTCTCGACCTGCTTTTATTCCATATCAGCCATATTACCCTAGTAATATTGCAATAATTGAGACTCTTACATCTTGGGATAGCAAGAATGCGCAGCCTCTTCAATCCTACTTAGCATATTACTGTGTCCCTTCAAAAATATTAGATTTAGAGAAGAATGCTTAGCCAATACGCATCATTCTCTACTGTTTCTGATTTTATTGTGACAAATTTCAGGTCTCTTATTGCTGCCTGGCTAAGTGAGAAGATAAACATACTAGACACTAGTTTCGCTAGCCAATGAAAAACATTACCGTGATTTGGTAGCTGAAAGGACTTGCCAGTTCCAAGTTCCTTTGAGTAGATTTCATTACCGAATCGGTTGTGTAGTTGTCGCACATCCGTATGAAAGTGCATTAAGTGTACATATGCTGGAGAAGTCCTGTCCCAGATTTGGTTTCCTATTCGAAACAATCATTTTAAAGTCGTAAGTGAAGTCAGTGAAGGTGCAGTAGTCAGACCATGACCAGAACGCTGATATTCCGAATCTTAGTACGGAGTGCTAACCAGCTGATTATCGATCCTATCCTCTTGGATCTGCTTCCCTACTCTTGAATGCACAATGCAGCTTGTGCTGTGTTACCCAGTAGACTAAGAAGGCACCGAGTGCATTTGTGACATCAAACGAATTCTCCTCATGAAACCATAGAAACGATTTTTCAATATAAACTGCTGGGTAGCTTCGGAGATCACTGGAAACAAACATACAAATGTTTCCTTTAATATATTACAAAATATATAGATTTTTATTTGTATTTTATTTATTTAAACCCAAATATTCACAGAGAATTTTGCTTAAAATTTGTAAAATTCTCGTCAAAATTTAGCATTCTTTATAAATTCTTTAATGACTTTCTTCATATTTTGTTCTTTTCCCCCAAAAATAATAATAATCCCGATTGACTGCTGGTTCCCCTTCAGTTTCGACATACACAGACGCCACGACCGTTACAATGACCACCACGATTGCCACGCAGCAAGCAATGCGCCGCACAGGCACTATGCTTTACGCCGAAACCGCTTAGAAGATCGCAAGTGGCACGTTTTTGACGACTCAACTCCAGTATAGTAGGTTCTTGCTCCAGCACAGCCAGCTGATCTCTCTCATCTTCGAAAGGTGTTGTTGTATCTGCGGGTGCTGCATTGAGTGTGCGAAAAAGGCAGAGAGCACAGATGAGTCCAGCGTAGAGTATTATTGCCTTCATTTTATTCTGATTATTTTTTCTGCGGTTGGAAGTTCTCTATGATTTGAGTTGAAGCTCGCTTGTCTATTCTGTTGTGCTCTGATGCTGAAATCTGCAATTGAACTTTGTTATATACCTGCGCTGAGACACTGATAACACACAGCAGATGAATGTGCGGATTTCCCAATTATAGCGTTTATTGGGGGGACTCACAGAGATGGTTTTGCGAAACCCATTCACAAAGCCTTCTTTATTTGTGTGTAGTTGCGGTTGATAAGCGTGAGCATATTGATATTTTGGAACTCAAAGATGAGCAGACTGTGCGCTTGTATGCAGAATTAATCGGAAATAGAAAAACTCTGGTTTGTTTCTCTAGAGCGGCTTGGTTCGGTTATGAGCAAAAATTATAGAGTTATAGGGCAAAAAGTAAGGGTTAGCTGTTTCCCTATGGCCAAAAACTCATAATTGCATTGTCAGCAATTGGACCGTCTGAAGGAGGCAGACGCCCAGAAGTGCCCAGCTTTGGCCAACAGCAGAGGACTTGTGTTTCATCAGTGCATCGCTAGACCACACACATCGACAGTGTCTTGCTAAAAGCTCCGAGAGCTTGGTTGGGACGTTTTTATGCATCTACCTGATTATCCGAACTTCAAACCAAATGCCTACCGTCTATGCATCAAGTGAAGCCTCCGAAAATCGATTGCATTTTATTTATTCAACAAAATCAAATTACGCACAGGTCGCTCATCCATTTCAGCCAATGGAGCTACTTCCACTACTTCCAGACCAACAGCTCAGATGGGTGCTGCCTTGGTCGAATAGAAAAGGCAGAAGGCGCAAATGAAAAAATTGATCCACTTAAGCTCGCTCGTAAATTGTTGAATGAGACAATCTCGTACTCTACCACCATCAGCTTACTCCGGCCAACAAACGGATTCATTGTTATACCAATGAGGATCCTATTATTAGTCCCTACACGCCAGTCAAAACTGAGCAATCGACGTATGTTTCGTATCATCCCGCTATTTCGTTGAAGTCTCGAAACGTCGCCGTCTTTAGAGATTTCAAGCAGTTTTTCCAATGTGTGGGGCATTTGCAAAGGTCGTGTTTTAATTTTTCAGGTGCATCCTCCTCTCTACCACTTTTACAGAAGTCGTCTGATGATACGCACACGCATACACGCTTCTCTACGTGGTCAAAAAATAGAGGATGCCTCGTTATTGTAGATATTGTATTTGGTTTTTTCTTAGCGAGAGAAGCTCTCTTGATCTTCTTTTATTTATATCAGCCACATTATAGGCGAGAGGACTTGCTAATCCCAAGTTCCTATGAGTAGATTTCACTACTGACCCGGTTGGCTAGTTTCCATTCATCCGTATATAAGAGGATTGAGTCTGCATATGCTGGAAAACTCCTGGTTCACTGGCTTCCTATCCGGAATAATCATTAGCCACCTGTAAATCCAAAGAGTGGAACGGCTACAACGGCATTGAATGTCCTCTTGGATCTACTCCACTCTTCTTGGATGCAGAATGCAGCTTGTGCTGCGGTAAGACTACACAAGGTGTCTAAAAGGTAGGTGACAACCTACGGTTCGGTTCAAGCAATTTATGTACTAAGAAGGCTCTGATTGTATTGCTGATATGAAATAAATTCTTCCATAAAAATCACAGTTTGGCTGCTCGGCGGCGTCTTACAATGAAGTATGCGTCCTTGCATTTTTTTGAAATACATCAAGACACACAGCACAAATTGCAGCAGGAGCTCGACTCAGCGGCTAATAATAATTTATGAGGAAAAAAACCGATGCTCTCATATTATTTTTAGTCACAAATTTCTTTTATTTTATTCTCTTTCAAATACAAGTTACATATTGCATAACAACAAAATTAAGGACAACCATGTTGCTCTTAGTTTCGACAGCGACAGATAGAACCATCACAATAGCCACCACGATTGCCACGCAGCAAGCAATGCGCCGCACAAGCGGAATGTTTGAGACCGCCTAGAATATCGCAAGTAGCGCGCTTTTGACGACTCAATTCCACTGTGCGCTCCTGTCCTAGTATAGCCAACTTATCTCCTTCACTTTCTAGCGCTGCTGCATCAGCAGGCGCTGCATTGAGTGTGTGAAATAGGCAGAGAGCGCAGATGAGTCCCGCGAAAAGTATCATCATTTCCACTTTCATTTTGTACTTATGAAAGTTCCGACACTTGTGTATAATACGAAGGGATTTTCGCTTGGGCTGTAGCGTTTTGATACCCAATGCTGGTATTCAACTTGGTTTTATACCTGCGCTGAAAGAGTCTTTACAGCTCCCTAGTGAATGAGTGCCAATATTGAGCCGCAAGAATATTAATGAGATTGTCACTAATGAGATTTTAATGACTTTCTTCCACTTGCTCCGAATTGTAAACGACTTACAGCTGACATTTTCGTAGCTGACAATGTCATGCCGAAGCCAGTTTCCACCCTAAAGATTGCTGAAGTCTATTTATCATCGCTATTTACAAAAGCTCGACCACTTTGTCCCTCGAGTAAGGCGTCTACATAGAAAACTGACTTCACACAACCCAACAAAATGTCGTCCAGTGATGTTAAATCGCACGATCTTACAGCCCACGCCTCAGTCCCAGGATGTTAGATAAAAATTTAGCACCAAAAATTTCCATGAAATAAATTGATTTTTTCGTTGGCTGGAACCAACGATCGTCCACATCTAATCCACCAATTCAAGCACGAAAAAGTTATTTGTAATGTCTCTAGAGCGTTGCCTGTTGACTGTGACATTGGAAGGGTTTCATTTTAGAATCTGGGACAATGACTCCATCTGCCCATAGAGCACATTCCGCACAGTGACTTTTTGAGGATGTACAACGTCTCAACAATGACATGTCTCAACTAATGCTCGTACCCACATTCAATCAAAACTGAGCTTCACCGCTGAACAATATTTTTCCAGAGAAAGTCGGTTTCGGTAGTCACCTCGATCTCGGCCCATTCACCGAACTTTCGACGCGTTTGATGGTCGTTCGGTCTCAACTCTTGCAGGAGTTAGATTTTGAGAACCCGTAAGCCAAGAACTTTCTTTCAAAAAAGGGGATGGACACAGCAGCAATGGTTGGGCGGATGGACTCATTTCTCATTTCTTCTATACTCTGAACCACAAGAGTTATAGCGTCTATGGTGCCCATTGTAGGACGTCTCTGAGTAAGCGCATTATCCACTACATTTAACAAGGTGCAAAACCGAACCATGTTCGGTGCACAAACTGTCGACTTTGCTGTGCGATTATGCCGAAAGAAAATATAATAAATTTGTTGTTCTGAAGTAAGCGTGTTCATTCTGACATGCCTAACCAAATGGAGTATAAATCAAGCAACGCCTACCAAAAATAGCACCTTCGAAAAAGTTATACCACATTGAAAACCAAAAGTCCAAAAAAAAACACCCTTTATAATTTCTTTTTCATTTCTTTGAATATATTTTAATTCATTGCCTTGTTTATTTTAACACGCTTTCGAGGATTGTCAAAAACATTTCATAAAATTACAATAACAATTTTTTTTTTAATATTTTCTTAACGGCAATTGCATACACCACGTCCATCGCAGTAACCACCACGTTTGCCACGCAGCAAGCAATGTAGCGCACAGGCGCTGTGATTTACGCCGAAGCCGCTGAGCAAATCACAAGTGGCACGTTTTTGTCGATTCAACTCTGGTGCAGCTTCCACACCCGCAGCTGCCGATTCTAGTTCTTTGTACTGCACTTTCAAGGCAGCTGTCTCAGCCGGTGCTGCCTTGGTCGAATGGAAAAGACATAAAGCACAGAGAATTCCAACGAAGAGTACGACGATTGCTCTCATATCGAATGCGGGAGGAGGTTACTTGCCTTTGCTTTGGTAGAAATATTTTGAGGCACAATATCAGAACCCAGCTTGCTTATATACCCAACTGCACTTGCTCAATATAAGGAGACTCGCAAAGTGACGGTGTCTGTAGATTAGTTTCGACGTTGTTACTTAACCAACGATAGATTTCTCTGAGTTAATTTTATTTTAATTTGTTCTAATTTGCATAATCATATTTTAAGTACAAATACTCGTATATATGTCTGTACATATGTACTTTCCCTAAAGGCAGGGCGCTAAGAAGTACTCCAATGGCTACTAGACTGAAAGTCTACTCAGCCCACCGCAATCGAATTTTCGTTGGAAAGCATTGCATCTTTCTGCTGGATCCTTTCATCTCTTCTTCTTAAGTTAAGCCGAGAGAATTTCCTTTGTGTTTGCCCGGCTCTATCTTCTTACATAACCCGGAGCTTTGGTATTCAGAGAACTACAAGAAGTTTCAAAACTGGTTATCAAGACTTTCTTGAAGTTAACGCAGCGATGATTCCCATTCTTCTTCTAGACTGGCATAGATACCGCTTACGTGATTATTGGAGATACCAAGTAGAGCAGATCCTTCTCTATTTGCTCTTTCCAACGAAGTGGAAGTCTTCCTCTCTTTCGACCGGTGGGTACTGCATCGAAAACTGTCAAAGCTGGTGTATTCTTAACGGCCACAGTAGCCGCTCACTCAACTCAACAAATGCTGTTATCGTCTATGCCTCTGCACCATATAGCAAGACGGGAACGATGAGAGACTTTCGTTCATCGAGAGAGGACTATACTTTTCAAATGCCAACCTAGTCCAAAGTAGCAGAGGTTTTGGCAAGAATGAATCCGCGCTGCATTTCCTGGCTGACATTGTTGTTGATGCTATTACTAGTACCAAGATAGACGAAGTTAGCTACGACTTCAAAGTCTTATAGAACTTTTGTACCTTCCCTTTTCAGCTCTACTGGTCGTATTATTTTCTCCAGCAATAAATGAAAGAAGTCAAACGAGACAGATTGATTGTCTGAAACCTTATTTGGTCTCAACAGCTCGGAGAGGATCTTCTCGGTATTCATTTGAGCTAGTTTCTACATGGCGGGTCTCAAACCCAGCGCACAACCTCGCTAGGTGATTAAATTTAAAGATTTTACACATTTATATAGCGAGCCGTTTGTTCCAAGATCGACGCCCGCTAGCAGCCGCACCTCTGGTGGGCAGACGCTGCAATTGGACTTCAAGGGAGCCTTAAATCGGAGTGGCTCCACTTTAGCTTTCACTATTATAGTTCTGACCGGGTCGGTTACCACATCTTGCACAAGGGTTGCAGAGTGCGGGACGTGGACGGGAAGGTAGCAATTGAGTATAGCTCCAGGACTATAAGTAACCACATACCCAGAGTATATATCCCATTACACTTCAGCAATGACTACAAGGAAACTTGTAAACCCAGCATATAGACAGCCTAATCTACCTTTGGTAAAAATTGATTTTGGTTGATGAATTTTGGAGCTTTTGTTGCTTGATCCCTAAACGTTTTCGCACAACGTCATGGAATTTCGATATGTGCGGTTTCTTTGCTATCTCTCTTGCTGTGTCTTACGGCGTTTAGTTTGGCCTTTAGGTTGTGGTCATCAACTGTTCTCAGAACACAAGCGAGTAGAACAGTGCTGACACGGATGGGATTTAAGACCGAGTATCGTGCATTGGATATGCACATCGGTAGTTAGGCCAATCCTATTCTACGGGGTCACCGCCTGGAGCAAATTAGAGAGAGTTCAGCGATCGGCGTTCATGCTGATAACGGGAGCATTGCCATCAACTCCCTCGAAAGCACTGCTAACTCTGATCAATCTCCTTCCTCTGGACCCATACGGGAAACTACAAGCGGGTTGCAACGTAATAAGATTGAATGCAGCTCAACTCAATATTATCTCTTATTTTCTTACTTCGATAATCTTTTCTCCACAAGAATCTCAAACAGATGAGAGTGAGAAAACAGCAACGCCCCCGATCAAGGAGCAAGAGCCTTCTTCATCGACGGCTCGAAACTCGATGGGAGGGTGGCTTGCAATATTTATTCTCCCGTGCTCTCAGTAAGCATGAGCATGAGAATATCGGATCATTGCAACGTTTTCGGGCGGAACTCTTAGCAATGACGGAGGTCGCGGAATGGTTGCGTAAATCTACGGCGGCAGGACAATCGGTTACAATTTACTCCGATAAACTGTACAATACTGCCGTAGTCTGGGTACCTGGACGCAGGGACATCCCAGTCAACTGCATGGCAGACGAACAAGCGAGAGTGAAAAGGCGTCAAGAGTGAAAGAAACAATCACAGTTCTTTAATGCTTTGATCTTGGAAGGACAAAAAGCCTCGTCCTTTCGGCTCATTAATTACCCTTGCTTAGAAGGTAATGCTGATTTTTGTCTTTTACACTGCATTCGAATATATTTTAAATGATATAACCGTTAGTTTTCCATATGCGGCTTATCATTTATTTAAAATTGGCTTAGCCGTAAACTTCGTTGATTCCGGAAATAATTTCTGTGAGTCTCAATTGTGACAGTTGTGAATATTGGAAAATAAATAATAATAATTTTTGTTTATTGCTGTTGTTGTAGTGTTGATTTATTATAAGCCGCTTAATAAATTAAAAAGTCTATTAAAAAAAATAATTTTCTTTACTCGAAAACTAATTATAGTTTAAGTGTTGATACTGAAGGTATTTCACATTATGTTAGGTTAGTTTTTATTTACCGTAATGAAGCCTCAATCTAAAATTAAAAATAAATTGCGTCTAATAATTTAAGACCTAGATAAGAGCTTTGAACGAGCTTTGGTCAAATTAAAATTGAAAATAATAGGAAAAAGACGCAAAAAACACGTTGCGGGAGCTCGACCGAAAATCGCTTTAGCGGTTATAAAGCGTCAGTTATATAAATATATTCGTATATTTATAAGCGGATGTAGACCCCATTACTTATGGGTATGTAGTTTCAGTCAATTTCTACTCTTGTTTAAGACGCGGGTCGAAGTATGGCTGCGAGTGGGCTCGCCACGTTGAAATCAGTTTCAATGAAGGAGAGAAAACAGTCTCGGATGGGATACGATACGAAATGCTCGATTCCTCAATTAAGAAAGTATTGCTGCCCACTGGTTGATGTCCCCGTAAAACTCAAGGCTGACATCATCGCCATCCAATATGTACAATGAACGGGACAAGAATGGAAACGAGCAGGTCCCTGTGACAGACATCTGCTACAGCGGGGAAAATTTGGTGTCGAATTCGTGAGAGTGACTCCAATGTCAAGTACTGGCATTTACATCAATGGTTGAACATCTCGCTACAATATGCAACATAGCGAAATTTTTCAGCCGGCCCAGGCCCCGACGGAGGCGAAGCACGATAGGAATATGTGTTAATGAGCGTCTAGAGTGTGCCCATGTGCGTTGGCCCCGCTACGATGCTGAAATTGTGCTGGGCGACTTTCACGCCACGGTGGGCAAAGAGCATATCTTCGACAAGTCTGTCGGAAACTTGTGCTTCCAAGACGAAATATCTCCGAACGGGTTGAAAGTTTATCATGCACTTGGCCGCCTTCAGATCTAAAAACTTAAACGATAATGTTGTGATAGACGAATGACATGTCTTAAGTGTTCCTCATGGAAGTACATTCCGAGGACACAACATCAACTCAGAGTACTATCTTCTCCCTATCAGCAAGGTTACGCACCCACCCCTGTACAGCAAGGAACGCCTTTCAACAAACAGAAGGAAGGTTCGACATCGAAAAGCTGCAGTCACAACCAAATGGTGTACTACTCAACCTACATTCCTGTTCCTCGGAAAGCACTCAGCAGCAACTCTGTATAAAGAAAGTGTGGGACAGCTTTTAAGCTTTCCTGCCAATGACACTTTTGGCTTTCGGACAGATAGTTCGATGAGGATTGCCCCGCCGTAGTGTAGAGAAAACCGATTGCCTATCGCAATGTTGCGATCAACCACGACATGTGCGGATGGAATAGGTACCAAGAATGGAAGGTAAAAAAGGACGCGGCTTAGTTGCTTCAGAACGAAAAACTTGTGGAGCTGGTGAAGAAATAGCTCAAAGGCTAAAAGTCTCTTGTCCATACCACAAATCGTGGAAACTTTTCTTTATAAACCGTACCCATCCAATAAAAAAGGGGCCTCCGGGAAATGGACCAATTCGAACCTAATGGATCTATACCAAAAATCGTTTTTTATATATCATACACGACCGAATTAAATCGCAACTGCATGGCGTTTAGTTGACATGACACTTACGGCTGATCATGGGATTCTCGACCTCAGCGCGCAAAAGATCGATTGTAATGTTGCCTGTGTGGCCCGGTAACGGCAGCTCCTTCCTCGTTTTCAAAGTAAGCTTGACCATTGAAGCGGTCACTTCATAGGCCGCACTGGACAGTCACTCGTTGCGGATTCATTGGCATTTCCATGGTTGCGTGCGGGTTTTCTGATCCCCAAATACACCAGCTTTGCTTGTTAACGTAGTCGCCGAAGTGAAAATACGCTTCACCGGAAAAGCTGATCTTTCGATAAATATTCTCAGCGGTTGTCGAGCGATGTCGCTTCGATAAATGAGCTGAATATCGAAACGAAATCACATTGGCTGATCATGAGGCTTCAGTTCTTAAATCAATTGGTCTTTATACGCCTTTGTACCGAGGTTTTTATGAGAAATCTTGCCTATCAAAATTGCACAAAATATTTAATTCCTACTTTAATTGATGATGTTGATGGCTGTTCTAGCACACTATGAGCTACAGCGGCTGGACGACCAAGTACGCGAGTTCTTTTGACCTACAACTAAGCGGGGTTTGATGACCTCGCTGCAGAGATTTATTCAAAGCCCTCTGGAGGACGAACTATTTCGGCCGAATTTCGATCTTAAGCCTTAGAGGCTTCGTTGCTCAGTTTTAAGCTGGCTTAATGTCAGAAAAGGGTTCAAATTCAAAATTTTTTTAGAAAAGCAAAATATGGCTTCAAGGACTATTGCCTGGTTTTAGGCGCTACTTAATCATATTTCTTTCAACGAATTTAAATAAAAAAAGAGTATATTTTTTTGCTTCCAATAAATCATTTATTTAATAAAGTCAATAAATTTATATACATATTTAAAAGTTGTAAGATATATAATATATACATATATGTACGTATGTGCATAAGTAAATATTGAAATTCGTTTCAAAATAAGCGTATCCTTAATAGCACCCCTTTAACGTATGTATGTACAATATACGTATGTGGCGCTTAATTACGGCAAACACACACAGCCTGTCCATTACAGTAACCGCCACGCTTGCCACGCAACAAACAATGAGCCGCACAAGCGCTGTGATTAACACCAGTTCCGCTCAGCAAATCACAAGTGGCGCGCTTATGACGACTCAACTCAGCAACGGGAGCCGCGTCCAAAGTCGCCAATTGTGCGCCTTCCTCCTCCACTTGCAAGGTTGTGGCATCAGCCGGTGCTGCTTTGGCCGCATGGAAAAGGCAGAGAGCGCAGATGAGACCAGCGAAGAGTGCGATGGCTTTCATGTTGAAAAGATTTTTGTTTTACAGATATTGTTTGTAGATTTAGAAATTGTTTGCGCTGCTCAAGTTGCTGCTGCTGTTGCTGCTGGTATTGCTTTGATGCTCTAACCAGTGGCTGAACTTGGTTTTATACTCGGCCTGAACCTGAACTTGATGCCTTATTGCTAGTATCGCTCCAACTATGTTTGTGCATATTGTGTGTAAGTATGTATGACAGGTATCTCCCACATCACCCATCAATAGGGGACTCACAGTGATGCTTTTAGGTTCGCTGAATTGTCTTGATACATATTTATTTCGAGACGCTGATAAGCTGAGATACGAGTACACTTGTTCAATTGATATGTTCGCTTTGTTTGGGAAATTTCCCATTTGCATAATTTTATTGCAAATGGACATACATACGTTTACATACATACATACATACTCGTGAGTATGAATTTCAATGTCTATGCGTAACTGTTCACACGAACTCACATTTGTGTTGATTGATTTTGAAGAGAATAGCGGAAGAGTTGTGTCTTTTCAGTTCGGTTATTGTTTGTTGTTCGTAAATATAGCATGAAGCACGTTCCACAAGGGGATGCACAAAACTTAGACTCTTCCGTTGAAGCGGGTAAATTTTCACCTGCAAATTTTTATTTATTTATAAGTTTTTTTTTTGTTGTGCATACAGATAGGGTATATAAACATTAAAGGTACATACATACATATGTACATATAACGGTAATATGTATCATATTTGACGCCTTGTAACCGCTGAAGCGATTTTCGGCCGAGATTCTCCGACAATTTGCGGTGTGCGTCTCGATGTTTCTTCCGAAATCGCCTCCGAGAGGCCGATAGACCTCTATTTCGATATATCGTTTATTTCATGTCAGAAGGTCTTGACGTTCTCTGTCGAGGTCCGACCGCGATTCTTAGCAATTAATATAAGTATGTCGCACTAAAAGAAGGACAAGCATATTGAATCTTTCGTTGCCTCTAAATATTGCAAACAAGCTTATTGCAGCTGGAGTAGGGGGTAATTTTTAGGGTCTGGATCGCTTTTTTCCTCGTGCATTGAACTTCTAGACGGATTTGACATTATTCCTAGCCCTATGGATTGCTGCAGAACCACTCTTGCCAACAGGTGCTACTTTGGACGGAGTAAGCAATTGGAAAGTAAAGTACTCTTTCGATGAACGGACACCTTTACAAGTCGCTCATCATACCCATCCTACTATATGGCGCGACAAGTCGGCGCTGGGAGTCTTTGAGAGAAAGATTTTGCGTAAGATTTATGGTTTTCTAAGAGTTGGTATGGAATGACGAGCTGTATGAGATATACTGCGACACTGACATAGTTCAGCGAGTGAAGAAACAGCTGCTGCATAGCTAGGTCATGTGGTCGGTAGGGATAAGAATACTCTAGCTTTAAGAGTTTCCTATGCAGTACTCGCCGGTGGAAACAGAGGAAGAAAAGTCCAGGTTGAGAAGGTCCTGGCTGAACTTGGAACCTCCAATTGGAGCCAAACAGCGAAAAAAAAAATGATTGGCGCAATGTTATAAATTCGGCTGTAATCACGAAAGTGGTGCCTATTGATTGCCGCATCTTCCAGGAGGGAGTCAGGCGACTCTTTCACTTTCTCTCTCTCAGCTGTTGCAGTGTCTATACAACCCCACTTAGGAGCAGGAGAGATTAGTCTACGTCATCGAGGTAATCTAATGAGAGCTCCAGGAAACGAGCTGTTTCGACGAGTTAGGACAAGACGAAAGGAGTTTTAGATGTGTATTTAGTAAGGAGGTGGTTTCGCAGAGGAAATTCAGCAAATTTCATTATGGATGGGTGAAATCATGAGAATAAGGTTGGCGATGGCGTATTCTATCGAGCACTATCTTTGGCTCCAGGTCTTTATAGTGTTTATTAGGCGAAAATTGTGGCTATTATGGGAGCAATGGAGAGTGGATGCAGTTGTACAAGACGGCGCTTAGTCAGACAGGCGAGCAGCATTAACCAAAAGTACCCACGGCTTTGAGGAATGTTTTTGTGGCTTCCACAACAACAAGACGAGTACATGTGGTGGGCCTTAAACCAGATCAGTGAGTCCTTAGAAAGTACTGCCACGTGTGGGGTTGGGGATCTTCTTGTCCCAAGGTGAATGCCGCAGGTCATAACAGCTCCTCCCGAATGGTATTCACGCGGAGTGGTTGGGGATTTGTAGCGCTTGTTCAACTCCGCTTAGAGGCAGGTTAATTACTAGAAGACGCCGAGATCATCTAACGGGAGGTCCAGGAAACGAGCTGTTTCTAACAACAACAACAACAACAACAACAACAACATGCACAAATTTTAGGGGGAATGTAGAGAGGTATTTAGTGCCACTTGCTATATCTTCCAGCCCCTAATGGTCGATTTATTAATTGATTGCCTATTTTTAGGCACATAAAATATAATATTATATGTGTATTTATATATTTATTTACAAAATGCACATACATATATATATTATTAACTGCTGTAACCTCATGCAGCACCACCGAAAAATCTCTAAAGGTAAATGCAATTTGGATTTTCACAATAACAATTACTTATGTACGGCGTATGTAGAAGACTAGTTTGCCAGAAGAATGTAACTGTTTATTTCGTGTTCGGCTTAATACGTAAAGAACCCATATCCAAATTCAATTCGCTCATGATATCATTTTTGGCCGGTCCTTCATTCGTCATATTTGCAATCAATTCCTGCACATCTCTATTACCTTCGCAGGCATTGCGAATTGCTAGTATAGACCATTCTCTAAGAACTAAAAATAAGATAAATTAGTTGCCATTACAATCACTATTACTCTTTCTGAGTACTCACGTGGATTACGAGCATCCATATTTGTGCATTCTAAAAGCGTTGGTAGCAGCCTTGTATCTATGCAGTAACCTTGATTAGTTTTGTTCTTATACAGCAAGTTTGCAATGCAACGCACTAAGAGCGTTTTAAATTCAAATGATACTTCCGACTCGAAATCTCGGGGTATTTTCGATGTAAGCGCAACTTCTTCTAATTTATTCATGGGAGTGAAAATATTTTGCGACTCTTTACCCACTTGCGCCAGCAAACGCAGCAAGCTGCTCACATTCAAGAACAGTGAATGCTCATTGGCATAGCTATCGCCGTACTCATCGGTGCCAGTCGCATAGGCAATCACACGCAATAGACTTTGTACTTCATGTGCAAGCAGTGGATCCGTGGTGGCGAATTGCGCACTATCTTGTTTGCAAATGAGTATATTATCAGATTTTATCGTGAATTCATATGTAATATGTTTTAACATATATTCATGTATGCGACCATTCGGACAATTATCAACCAGATATTGTTTGAGGTAATCCAAAAATGTTATACGTTCGGCAGTTGTTAAACTTGCATAATAAGGCACCGGTTGATTTTCGCCATGTACAATGAAATATTCAAATAAAAAATGTAACATTTCCATGTGCACTTTACTGCTATTCTGCACCATTGTTTGCCATACATGCACAGCAGCGCATAACGCTTGCTGTTTTATATTTGGCACTGCAGCACCTTTTAATGCAATGTACACAATCATAAGGCATACATCTGTAAGTTTTCCCAGTGGTGACAAAGAACAATTTCTTAAAATTTCAGCACCATGGCGCTGCCAAATCATACATTGCGTGTATGTATTCTGTACTGTGGCATTCGCAAGCAATTGCAGGGCAATTAATCTCACATTTTCTGGTGTAGCAGTAGCTGCGAAAACTAACTGATGCAATTGATTATTTAATTCTTCATGTTCTGCTATAGCATTCTGATGATCCTTACTATGCGCACAACCATCACGCAAAAGCCTCAATATGCTAATATATTCACGTGTAATGTCAGCGGATTCTTCATTATCAATGGAAGGCAGGCGTAGGAAGACTTCGATTTTACCTTCAGTATTTAAATTTGCGATGCTGAAAAATTAGTTATAGTTAATAAAAGTTGAAATTTTATTTAAAATAAAAGATAAAACACTTACTCTTTATTATCCATTGCGAATTTTGTGGATTAATAACAAAAGCGCATTGTTGATTATTTGATTTGTTTACTTTTTTTCTTAGGAACTAATTATGACAGCCCGGCAATAACAGCTGTTGAAACGCTGCAGGGTGATCAATGTGTTAAGAAACGACTGATTTTACAGTGTGCTAATTTTTTAACTTGACACAACTATTTATTTCTGGTTGAGTTTTCGAAATCAGTTTATTTTTTTAAATAGCTATAATTGGGACTTCTTCGATGGAATTCAGTCGTCAGGATCAACGTACTGAAAAAATAGCTACAGACCTTTTGAAAGTGAGTTCTCTATTGGTCTGTTCTAATTGTTAGAAGGGAAAATTGTTGAATAACGCTACCTCAAGAACTTTTAATGATGTCAAAATGTCGTGCGAAATATCCAGAACTTGGTACTAGCAATCGGCGAGGTATGTAAGAAAGCGGGCAATACAGCGGCACAACATAGATGTAAAGCGTAATTAGTATAGTCTTAGAGTTGGGAAATGAGTAATAAATAAACGTTGGTTAAGTCATATACAACTAAGAAACTGTACAACAAAATTGAAGACTTTCATTCAACAATCCAGTGATCGAACTGGAAGGCTTTGAGAAATCGAGGCGTGTTCAGAAAAAATTGTTAAAATAATAAGGCGAAAATGCCTATATATGAATTCTAGAACTAAAACTTCAGCATGATCCAGAGTGCGTGAGTCGCACGTTCGTTATCGAGAACATTTCGTAATGAAAAAGTTGCTTGGGGGCAAACGTCATATATGTAAGCGCGAAGTTAGTCACCGCCATGATCATTTAAGTAAGAAATTTGTTGGTGTGAAATAGATGGAAGATTCAACTTTTTGTTTACGGGACAATTAGTATACTGTGTGTTTACAATAAAGAATCTGTATGATAAATTTAGTGAATTTTATTAGCAGTCTAATGATTGAACCCGAAGGAAAGGTTTTCGGAAAACATTTTGGCTAACTTCACCAAAATCCGATTCTATAATACTCACTTAGGATATCGATAAAAGTCGATTTCAGAAAAACTTTAACATAATAAAAAAAATACATACATAATAAAAAAAAATACATACATAATAAAAAAAATGTTTTGTTTTTTGAGTTTTTTGTGTTTTATGCATTTTATTATTTTTTGTTTATTTTTTGTTTGTTTAATTCTAATAACAACAAATACATTAATATGTATGCAAATTACAACTAAATTGTGTCAACTACAAACCAGCAGCAAATATATGTATATCATTATTTATTATTTTTATTTATTGCTGTTTGTTTTTACTTTAGTTTAATTTTTTTATTTTTATTTTTTATAAATATAATGAAACTAGGTTATATATTTAGTATTATTTATTTATTTTTCTATGATAATGAAGGCAACATGGATGGTAGACACGATAAAAGGCACTTTTTGGCTGGTTGATTGATTGATTGACTCCTTGCACAGGGTGACACAAATTAAAAGTGATTTACGTAGGGAATAAACTTCGCATGGCTTCGTATTTGTGTGTATGTGTGTAGATATGCTGTGCAGTGACACTTAAATATCCGTTGAATAACGTTTTCACATTATCCCACTACGATGGTTTTCATTCAATTTTTATGTTATATTTCACTTTCGTTCAGTTTACTTGAATTGTTTTTTATTCTTTTATTTAAACTGTTTTGGAAATAAAAAGACTGTTTTTGCTTGTTGCAATTTTAACTAATAAATAAATATTATTATTGTTTTTTTTTTGTTTTTGGAAATAGCTTTGACTAGTTTTATTAGTAAACTATGTGCAAGTGGCGCTGTGCAGTCAGCTTTATTCTAACAGCGATTGTTGTTGTTTGTTGCTGCACCACTTTATGCTCTTTTTGTAAATAAATACGTATAACTTTAAACTTTGTGGTTAATAATATACATGTATGTATGTATGAACAAACATACATATGCATATATGGTGTATGAATTATAAGATTTTATATTTCAACATTATGTAAATAATTTTCTCTTTTCTCTTTTGTTTTTGTTAATATTTAATTATTACACAAGTAAGTTAAATAAAATAATATTCAACAACAAAAATTAAAAAAATAATTAATATTAAACGGCAAATTACATATTATATATATTGCAGCTGCTGGTGTTTGTATTTGTGTTTTTTATTTATAATTTTTTAATTTTTTTTTTAATATTTTTTTTTTGATTTGTTTTTTTTTCTTTTGGTAAATTAATGGTAAAATTTCTTTGATTGCTTTTCCATACAAATTTGTTCATTCAACTAAAGTGTTCACATATTTGTTTTAATTATCGTGATTGTGTATGTGTGTGTATTGCGTAAATATCTGAAGCCAGGTAAACTGACTCTGTAGCTCCGCTCTCAGCGCACCCTCTCCACATAATTGCCCGGGAAGGTGCCAAAGCAGCCGGTACGCTGTGAGGTGCCCACAAACCAGCCATCGTCACAGATCTCCAACACATGAACGATATCACCTTCGAGCAATTCCATTTCATCGGAGTTTTGTGGGCGGTACTTGTAGAGTGCGCGATAGCTGTAGAAAATGAAGTGGAAGAAGAAGAAGAAGCAATTAATAAAGATTTTTTTTTTTTTTGCCAACGCTTCCAACTTACACCAACGGTTCCGAATGCGTGTCCACGTGCAGTGCATCAATTTTGTTATTGTGTTGTTTGGTCTCCTTGAGTATGCCATTTGGTGGCTGATGGCCATTTTTGGTTATTAAATTGAATTCATTATTAATATTTGTGCGTAAGGTGTCGAGTGAGGGACGTAAATTCGTAACGCTCACTTGTTCGGTTATAACGGTACGTGCGGCAATATCTTCAGCACCAATATCGGTGAGTACCTGTGGGGGCGTCATTAGAGAGTTAATTTTTGATGGTTTTTTTTTTTTTTTGAAAATCACCTCAACATATGACACTGGGAAGATACCCTTTCTATTGGCTATTTTACCCTCGAACCAATTCTCATCCACACGTCGTGTCAGTGTGACTAATTCTCCCTTGTTCAGTGATAATTCTATGCCAGATTGCGCTTGGAAGTTATATTTGGCACGAGCTTGTCCTTCGGATGGTTTCTTTGGTTGTTGACGGACGGTGTCTTTGTTTATGACCTGTAAGAAAGAAGTGAAGATGTTTGCATGAAAAAAGTTAAAAATGTTTTCTTTTTAGGTTTGTTGTTGGGTTGTTCTATATATATTTGAAAAAAATCCATTTAGAAGTAGGCTAGATCGGTCTAAGTAGGAGTTGTCCTTTGATGGGAGATCCATGAAATGAGCTGTTCTGACGGGCTATGACCCGATTGACCCGAATTTTATCCGGCCAAGGGCTGTCACCTTTCGGGGACTTAACCCAGAATAAGTCTTTTATTACAATTGCTGAACAGCAGCGCAGCATTCATTCCCTTTGGATAAAATACTCCCAAATCCTTATCCAATAGGTCTTTTCAATGGAGTTCAGGTCTTCCCCTACTGCTACAACTGCTGCCCTCTACTCTTCATGTTTAACCAGCTTATAATATACCCTTCTTTAACACTCACCTCAACATAGCTCACGGGCAGTAGGCCGATCATGGCATTGTGTTCACCTTCATACCAATTACGATCAACCTGCCGGCGTATATAGATGATATCGCCCTTCTTGAATGAAAGCTCCCTGTAGGTAAAATAATATATATATTTTTTTTTAAATTAATTTTCATGTCATTTTTAAATTTATTTTTGCTCAAATTATATAAATTAATCCCTCCTTTACCTTGCATTTTGTCCTTGGAAGTTGTATAGCGCGCGCGCTGCCGTTCGTGTTGTTATCGTGTTGGGCGATTTTGGCGCCAAATCCGATTGGAAGTCATCATAACGATTTAACGGTATTGGTGATTTTTGTGTAGGCGTAAAATTATCCGTATGACGACGTGCATTCATATCCTGCAATTCCTGTAAGTACTTGCGTCGACGCTCCTCCTGATAAAGCTTTTGCATTTGTTCGGCCTGTCGTTGTGCTAAATCCTCATCTGACATGGCCTGTTTGTATTCATGACGTATTGGTGTCTTGAAATGAATATTTACATCCGATTCAAGATAACGATTTGGAGATTCTGTCGGAGAGAAAGGGAATTGAAAGTGTGGAAAGGGGTTTGTTCCAATAGATTTTCTTTTAATTCAAGATTTTAATTATTTTATTATTTTTCTATGGAAAAAAAGAAAGCCTACAGTCCAATGATATAAAAATATCGAGTTCTTCAGCTGATTACTCAATTATTTAGGCACTGATTGAAAAAATGCGAAAATCTCAAAATCATAAAAATTTGAAGACTGCTCTCCGAGGAATGCCATATCCTTCGAAAAAGACTTCAAGAAAAAATATAAAATTGGAAAATCGTCTCTTAATCTTGTTCTTTATCGAGCTCAGTCCAATCTTTGTTTCTCGAATGACACAAAAAAGTGGACGAGCATGCCATTTTAGAAGACATTAGACAATACCTTGAGACCTTACCCAATGAAACCAAAATACCAGTGCCAAAAGCATCTGCTAAGTTGGAGGAGTTTCCGTGTACTGACAAACATTAGAATTTAATTAAGTCCAAACTTGATTTGTTAAGAGACTGGATCCTTCCCGAAAAACGCTGTTTCGTTGCTTGGTATCATTCTCGAAAGCAGCAATTTTTCCTTTGTCAGGAACGTTCTGACCTGGTCCAGACATAATACGTTCAGTGTCTACTGTTCCCAAGAGGATGAGTTGGTTTGATTGGATGTGGGAGGATCTCTCCGAGCCGTTCTTAAGGTCTTAAGAGATCTTCTACAATAGTTAACTGCTGCTGGCTGCTGTATGCCGATGACGTTGCTATCATAGGCCTTAACAATCGCGCGAATGGGTGTGGTAGGGTACGATGTCATACAAAAAACAGTATGCACACTTACAGCTTGGCTCCCATGTCACTGTTGACAGCCATAATTTTGAGATCTCAGAGACCTCTATTAACACCAATTAGGACTGGGTAGGCGTTTGATAAGTAAAGTCCTCTCTCGACGAAGACAAACTCTGGAAATCACTTATCATTCACATCCTACTATTGTATATGGGGCAGCAGAGTTTACCATGTTAACATGTACACGTAGAGTCGGCTCTGAGAGTCTTCGTGATAAAAGCTTTGCGAACGATTTATGGTATTTTGTGCAAATACCGTAGCCGATGGAACGTTGAGCTGCAATAGTTCAGCGAATAAAGAGACAGGCTAGGCCGTGTCGTCCGAATGGATTAAAGTGCTCCAGCTTTGAATTTATTTATTGGAGTATCCGGTGATGGATGCAGAGAAAGGGTAAGACCTCCACTCCGTAGAAAGGATTAGGTGGAAAGCGGTCTGGTTTCACTTGGTATTTCCAATTGTTATCAACTGGCGTCAGACAGCGAAAAGAAGAGAGAGGAGAAGAGTTATCGAGAAAAATGGAGTACAGGAATGCTAGCAGCCATGGAAGAGACCCACCGAAAGTAAATATTCACGAATATCGTAACTACAATGAAAATCTTTATCACTATTACAATATCCGGTAAAATATATATATGTATGTATTGTATTTATGCTCATAAATTATTGCAAAAGCGCTTTGTTATTGACCGCGGGGGAAACACAGAATTTTTATTTATGAATGGAGAATTTTATTTTGAGCGCGTCTGCAGCTTAGTAATGGGTATTGTTTTTGTACATATATATACATATATATACAAATACAATATTAGTAACATAAAATTCTACGAATTATTTATGACTAGCTTTTCATCCTAGTCTGATGTGTTTGAAACCCTTTTGACACTTTGAAAGCATACACACGTGTGTATATATGTATGTATGTTTTGTGTGTGAGATAAGTATGTCAACGCTAGTTAAAAAAAAAAATAGAGTATTGTATATATGTATATATGTATTACCTTTCTACGTCAGTATAAACATAATCATGTATCATGAAATACCACATTTAATTAGATTTATGTTTAATTGCGCTAAAAACACAATTAGAAAAAACTGTCACAATTGTCTGTCACGCGTTGAGCGGCAAGCACCAACACGAACAATGCACAGCAAGCTAACAATAAATATTTATGTACATATGTACATAAATAAGTCTTAATGAATGGCTAAATAAATGATGATGACGCTGTCACTCGTAGATTTTTAACTCATACATACATACGTAAATATGGTACTAAAAATAATAATTAAGACAAAAATAATAATGAAAAAATATAAACAAAGCCAAAACAGAAAAATTAAAATAAAAATGAAAATATTAGTACAGTAGAAAATATAAGTTTAAAAAAAAAATAAAAAGGAAAGAAAAGAAAAAAAAGGAAAATAAAATTGAAAACCGATTAAAAAAAAATAAAATAAAAATTAAATAAATATTATAATCAAAATTTGGGTAAAAAAAATCCGTCAAAAAAGCATCTAAAAGCTTGAAAATTAAGTATTCTACACAAATAGATTCCAATAGATATTGACACCGAAAATCATAGAAATCGGATATTTATACATAGGTATCATAAGCTTCAATAAAGCAAATTTTTCAGATATGGGAATTAATATTTGATACTAAAATGATATACCACAAATTTGATATAGTCATGAAAGGTATAAAGACTTCTTTATGGCAATTTTTATTTTTTTGCTTTGTTTTTTTATGTTTTTTTTTTTATTTTTCTAGCTTTCTTAAAATTTATTTTTTTTAAATTTTGCTTTGTTCAATTTTTTTTTTTTTTTTCGATTACATTTTTTTTTAATTTTTTAGCTCATTTAAATTGTTTTTATTTGCATTTTTATTTTTGTTTTATTCATTTTTTTATTTTTATTTTTGTTTTTTTTAATTTTTTTATTTTAATTTTTGCTTTATTTTTAAAGCTTGGTGGCTTATTTAAATTTGTTTTTATTTGTATTTTCGTATTTGATTTATTCACATTTTTTTGTTATTATTCTTTTTTTTTTTGTTATTTTATAGCTTGTTTGTATTATTTTTATATTTATATATGTTTTATTCACTTCATTTCTTTTTTTTTGTTTTTCATTTCTTTACTTTTATTTTTGGATTCATATTTTGCTTGGTTTAAGTTTTTTATTTTTTGTATTTGTTTTTTTTTGTATTTTTAGCTTGATTTTGATTTGTATTTGATTTGTTCACTTTTTAATTTTTTTATTATAATTCTTTTATATTTTTTACTTTTATTTAATTGTTTATTCAATTTTTATGTCTATTTTTATTTTTGCTTTGTGTACATTTTTTATTATTATTTTGGCTTTATTTTTGTACTTCTTATTTATTGTTTTTTTTTTATTATTTCTTGCTTCGATTATATTTTTGCATTATTATTATCTTTAGTTTTCTTATCTTTTTTTAAATTTTTTACTCTCATTTAATTTTAATTTTTTGCTTTGTTCACTATTTCATACTTTTTTTGTTTTTTAATATTTTTACGTTTATTTTCGATTTAATTTTTAGCCGTGCTTTTATTGTATTTTTTTGATTCACTTTTTTATTTTATTACTCTATATTTAAAAAAAAAAAATATTACATTTTATTTTTTTCTTTTATGATTTTACTTTTACTTTTAATTTAAATTTCTTTAGTGTCTACATTTTATTTAATTTAATTTTTTTGATTTACTTCTTTATTTTTATTACTATATATTTTTTTAATTCTGGTACTTTTAATTTTGTCTTTGTTTTGATTCTTAATTTTAAGGTTTGCTTTATCCTTTTTTAGTTTTTGTCTTTATTTATATTTTTTTGCTTTGTTTGCATTTTTATTATAATTTTCGCTTTAAATTTTTAAACTTTTATTTTAATTTTAATTTTTGAAATTTTATTTTATATTTCTTTTGGTTTGCATTATTATTATTTTTTGGTTTATTTTTTTTCTTTTATTTTCTTAAAATTTTTTTTTTTGCTTTGTTTGCTTATTCTTATTTATTTATTTATTTTTTTATTTTTTTAATTTTTATTTTATTTAGAATTTTAATTTTAATTTTTATTTATTTTTAATTTTTTGCTTTGTTTACTTGTTTTTATTTATTTTGATTTAATTTTATTTTGAATTTTTGTATTTTTTATTTTATTTAAAATTTTATTTATTTTAAATTTTTTGCTTTGTTCACTTGTTTTTATTTATTTATTATGATATTTAATTTTTTATTTTCTCATTTTATTTACAATTTAATTTATATTTTTATTATTTTTTAGTCTTTAATTATTTTTAATTTTTGTGAAATTCAAAACCATTTATTGCAAAGCATTATTTTCAAACTGACATATGTATGTATGCGTTCACACAACCGTTTGCTTGTTACTAAATCGATTAAATGAAAATAATTCTATAAATTTAACTACAAATATTCTCAAGTCTTTACAAAACGAATAGCGAATATAGACTGATGCCGCCGCTGGCTGTCATTCAATCCATTGATCATTGTTCACATTGGCAACTTGATCGCCGATCAATTAACGATTCAAATACGTTTTTCAATTGTCCAGCGATACGCTTTTGCCTTGACATAAAGAACTTAAGGAGGGCCGACAAATAAATATAAAAAAAAAAACAAATAATAATAATAAAATAAAAATGCGGGAATCTTTTGCGGTGCCTAGTATTTTAATAAAAAAAAAAATCGCATGCACATACATACATGCATACATATGTAAATATAGATTTTTGTGCATATAAATAAAAGTATTTCGTTCACCAACAACGCAAATATATTCAATCAAGTTATTTGTCAACCAACAACAAATAATAATTGTCAAATAACAATTTGTAGGTTGCCGGTACGTCGCTGCTGACATTACGAGCAGATAGATGAAAGCGAGACGCTGGGGCTAACGCTTGATTGGGTGTCTAGTGAGCGGGTAGTAGTCGGCTGGGTTGTGAGACCTTCACGGAATGGTTCAAATGAACGTAAATCGAATGGTTCGGCATTATCATCATTACAACGATTACAATATTTACATGTGTATGTGTGTGATTGTGTGCGAGTGAATGACGTACGCCGGACAGACCATGTCTTCGGTTAGATGAGTGAAGTAAACACACCTGTTTAACTGTTGCTGAGTAG